CAATCCCAACTCTTGGCCCTAGTCCATTCAAGCACCAAGTCATCAAGTGAAGTCCAAGTCTAGCAAAAGAAAGGCCCAAGTATTCAAGTGATCTGAGACAACCCATTATCCAAGCCCGAAGAGTGTTTTCATGCTACTTCATTTTGGGCCCATTTCAATGAATCCCAAGGCCCAAACTCATGCACTCTTATTAGTAGGATTTAATTACTTGTTATGTTTAATTAGTCATCCTAGGTGGCATGCTTATTTTGTATGTTTCTAGTTAATTATCCTATGTGGCTTTTTTACTCTACTAAATTAGTTAATCATCCTTATAATGCTACTATATAAGCAAACTTTCTCTCATTTTGTAAGTTAGACAATGAAATAGAAAAAACACTTGAGAGGAATGGTTTTCCTTTTGCTTTGAAATTTTTATCCAAATCTTGACAAGGGATTTGGTGGTGATTCAACTTCAAGTTGGCGGAGAGATCCTTTATGCTTGACGATTTTTCTTGTCACTATCCTTATATCCAAGTAAGTAGTCTTGAGTTCTTGTTTCTATCTTAGCCGAAATCTGGTTGTGTTGTGTTTGTGCATGTTTGGAGGTTGAGATTCCCTTGTGTAGTGAAAGCAGGTATGAAGTTTGTGAAGGTTTTCGCTGGGCCGGTTTTGTGCATGTTATTTTCCAGTGTTGTGTTGAGTTTTTCATTGAGGTTTTGGATCATGTTCCTACATTGAACAAATTGAAATGTGTGCTTGTTTTGTACCTAAATTGGACAAAATTGGTATATTAGCGTTCCTAAGCTAAATAAATAGAAAATAGTATCCGTTTTTAGCATTTTATGAAAGAGTTGTACCTAAAATAATATCCATTTGTAAAACTATTGTCCTTGTAACAGACCAAAACCATAAGGACAAAAATGTAATTATTTCCACTAAATAAAACCCTACTACCAAACCTCGCCAGTCTCTCACTGCCAAGGGGCATTTTATTAAAAGACCATGTCAAGATTAAATTTAATTAAAAGGCTATGTAGTTTTAAAGTGTTAACTAAATAGCCTTATTATTGATTAAGGGTAATTAAATATGATTAGTGCTTAATTAGGATTAATGAAGTATTGTGTAATCTTTTAAAAATTATACTATATTCCCAAAAACCTGGAATTCTTGCAAATAAACCCAAACACCTTCTTCTTCCTCCCACCATTAATGCATCCCTACCCTGGTTGTTGTTTCTTCTTAGCTTTGTCTACATCTTCTTCTTCCTCTGCATCTTCTTCTTCGTCTACATCTTCTTCTTCCTCATTCCTCTATATCTTCTTGTTCCTTCGCCATTAATACTTTCTTCTTCCTCCACCATTAACATCTTCTCTGCCAAAGATCTGCCTCCTCCTCTTCCTCCTGACATTTCGTCCAAGTATGTGTATCTCCTCTTTACATTTTATATTTAGATTTACAAAGATTTAATAATGGATTGGGTTTGGGTTATGATTTTTATTTAGTTGTTAAGGTTGTTGGGTTGTGTTTGATGTAATGCAAGTTGAAAGGAATGAAATTTGTTGAATATTTTCTTGCATTGTGGGTAGCTGGGGGTGGTAGCACCGATTGTAGGTGAAGATGACTGAAAATATGTTTTAGATCTGATGGATCGCTTAAGCGATCCGGTATAAGTCTAGTATATGGTAGCAGACCGCTTAAGCGATCTGGTATATGACAGAAAATCGCTTAAGCGATCTAGTATATGACAGAAGATCGCTTGAGTGATCTAGTATAAATCTGGTATATGGCAGCAGATTGCTTAAGCGATCAGGCTTATTTGTACTAGATCGCTTAAGCGATATACCAGATCGCTTAAGCGACTCTCCAGATGCTTTTTAAAATCTATCAACCCTTAATATATTGGTTAATAATTTTTTTTTTCCTTGCATTATAGGTACTTGACTATTATTAGACATGAGATATTGTTTTGGGTGTTGAATATTTTGGTCAGTGGCTAGATGTTGTTTCATTACTTGTTCACTAGTTTCTCTTAGTTGTATGTCAATCTTTTGTAGTGCATTAAACTGATTTTATGTCCTTGTATTTTTAGCTGTGCCATCAAGAAGAATGATGAAATTGAGAGAGTTTCCAAGGCCAACCGTTGAAGACTTATTAGTGAATAATAAAACAATTTTAATAGTTTTGATGAGTACTTTATGAGATTCCCTTTTTGGTCTCATGGACTTGTTATGAATGCTTTGTTGTTTTCAATTTTTTATGTTGCCAATTGGATATCATTTTGTTTGAAGTTTTAAATAGATGATAGTAAGGATGCTTCTAGTTACTTAATTCATGCTTTTATTGTGCTACTAAATTCATTCAATATTGAGATGTTATTGTGTATATAAATTCATTCAATATTGAGATGTTATCAATACAAAATCGTTTAAGCGAGCGATGACATCACTTAAGTTAATTTTTATGAATTTGAGAAGGAAATGTCAAGTACAAATAAAATTGGCCTTGGTTGCTTAAACGACATCAGCTATCGCTTAAGCGATCACGGCTTATTGTATAGGATCGCTTAAGTGAGAGCTGACATCGCTTAAGCGATCTTGAATTTGAGAAGGAATAGACAAGTACGAAGAAAATTGGCCTTGGTCACTTAAGCGACATCGACTATCGCTTAAGCGATCTTGAATTTGAGAAGGAATAGTGAAATACAAAGAAAATTGGCCTTGGTCGCTTAAGCGACGTAGGTTATCGCTTAAGCGATCACAGCTTATTTGTATAGGATCGCTTAAGCGAGAGCTGACATCGCTTAAGCAATCAAAGGTAATTTGTTTTTGTACTTAGAATAATCCTTCTCAAATACACAATCACTTAAATGATGTCAGCTCTCGCTTAAGTGATCTAGTATAGATAAGCCGTGATCGCTTAAGCGATAGCCTATGTCGCTTAAGCGACCAAGACCAATTTGCTTCTTTTCTCCTCAATCGTTTGATATTGTGAACGTTTGAGTGAGAAATTATATTCCGTAATGTTTATTTAATATTTAGTCCTTTTTTATTAATTATTAATTATTTTTTTCATTTCAATAGAATGTGAAAAGAACACTTCGGTCCTTGTCGATTAGCACCGTACATAAAACTGAAAGATCTATTGCTATTTTTGTTAGTTCTTGGCAAGAAAGTAATACATAAAAAATATAAAATTGAACTCTGCAACCATCTGCTCTACACTCTGTAGACCAAGGCTAAATAGATGGGATCGCTTAAGCAATTAAGGGTAATTTACTTCAATATGTATTTTCCATGTTTATGGACATATGTTTAATATAGACGTAAGAGAACTAATTTAATTAAAATATAATAACGGTCATGGTCCACTGAACAAATCGTACACCTGATATGTTTAATATAGACGTAAACATTCTACACCATATATGTTTAATATAGCCATAAAAGAACTAATTTAATTAAAATATAATAACGGTCATGGTCCACTGAACGAATCGTACACTTTATATGTTTAAGATATCATTAGTCGCTTAACCGATCTAGTGAAATACAATAAAAATAATCCGAATACACTGGATCGCTTAAGAGATTTCATTTCTCGCTTAAGCGATCCTGTGTATTTAGACTTAGTCGCTTAAGAGATCTGGTTGTATTTATGTTATCGCTTAAGCGATTCTACGCTTTTACATTTGGTCGCTTAAGCGAATGAATAAGACAGAATCAATAAGTGCCTAAACGCACGATCGCTTAAGCAATTTATTCTATCGCTTAAGCGATCCTTTGCTTTTAACCTTGGTCGCTTAACTGATCATGTTCGAGGCAGAATAAACGTCTGCCCAAATGCACGATTGCTTAAGCAATTAAGTGTATCGCTTAAGCGATTATTCGCTTTTACTATTGGTCGATGATCGCTTAAGCGATCACGAACAAGACAATAAATAAGTGCCTAGACGCACGATTGCTTAAGCGATTTATTATATTGCTTAAGCGATCCTTTGCTTTGAACGTTGGTCGCTTAAGCGATCATGTCCGAGGCATAATCAACTTCTGCCCAGATGCACGATCGCTTAAGCGATTCTTCACTATTACTTTTGGTCGCTTAAGTGATTTTAGATTGCTTAAGCCATCATGTCCGATGCTTGATACCGCCATGATTTTTATGGCACCAGGGACCATGGTCAATTACAGTGACGGCAAGATCATCATTGCACCATCTTCCGGCTCAGGCTCCCTCCCACTTGAAGAACAACACATCACTACCACAAACAACCTCCCTATAGCCTCCCTTGGCTTCCCCGATCCTCTGGAAACCTAAAACACCCACTCTTCTTATGCCCTCCAACTAGTTGACAAAATGCAGCAATGACCCTAACAACAAGCACCAACTAAATATCCCCAAAATAGCACCAACAACCAATAATTTCATCTTCTTCCACCTCCTCGTTGGAATTTCCGTCGGCGTCCTCCTCTTCAGTTTCAATTTCAACTCCTGCCCTCCCTTGTTCTGCTAGCAGAATGTCTTCTATCAGCACCGTCTCTTCTCCTGGTGGAGCAACTTCAGTCATCAAAAGTTGCTCCACTGCAACTGCTTCTTTTCCATTTTTGGTAGACCCAGTGGTGCCTACAATTTGGGGAGTGGATGGGTTTTTTCTGTTTCTTTGAGGGTCTCAGCCATTATAACTTAACCAGGAATAGCAAGGAATGACAAAAATGTAAAGAGCAAAGAAATTGAGAAATTGTAGAAAATTGGAAGAAAAAAACGAGAGAGAGGAAGGTGTTTGAATCCTATTTTGAGAAAGAGAAGCGGAGAGAAATATGTTTTGCCTTTCAAATTTTAAATCAACTTCTCTTTATTATACTCTAACCCACAAATATTTAAATCTTTTCACTCTAATCCTTGTAATGTTGCTGCTTTAATTACACTTAAAGTGTGCCACGTCATATTTTTTAACCCAAAAAAAAATCATAAACCTTTTCTAAGGTTATATTCTTAATTCGAAACTTGGGAAGGCGCATCAGTTAAATTTCCTCAACCGCCAAACACCACCACTCCACCTCCGATCCACTCCTCGCCATCGATCTCGCCAGCAGTCCACATAGACGCGCCGGCGACTAGCTTAGGGAGCGCTAGAAGTTTACTGCTCGCTAGGTACCCGTCATCTCTGTTTTATTGGTGCAATTTCATAATCCAAACACATTATCAATTTATTACTACTTGGTTAGATTAAAAGCAATTAACAAAAATCACAAAATTTTGCTGAAGTGACTACAAATAATTTCAATAATTTTAGTTATATGCACATTTAATAATAACCTCTGCAATGCTAGACACAGTCCCTACATTTTATGGAAGAAGCTTAAACTCTCTGTATTTTCAGTTATCGTAAGTACATAATATTCATCTCTTTTTTGTTTCTTCTGTTTTCTTGGTAAACAAACAGAAGTTAGGCTGACATTGTTTATATGTTTAGTTTTTCTTTTTCCTGCAAATTAATGACTTAAGCTTTTTTTTTTTTTTTTTTAAATTTATATATGTTTTATTTGATCAGATTCTGTGTTGGTATGTAGTTGAACGGGATTGGACATTATCTGGTAACGTGGGTTCACGTTAAATTGTATTTTGAATTGAGCTGACGTATTTGATCTTCAATTCTTAAATTGTTCGATGAAACGTGTGGGAGAATTATGAAAGTTGAACTTGATTTTGCATGATGCTATGAAGAATTTTCGAAACACCCAGAGATATGAAAGTAAAGAAAAAATTAATTAACCCCTCTATCACACTTTCAATTCTTCACTTTTATCTTGAGCACTAGTTTCAATTGTGATTGTAGTTTAATGATTCTATATTGGTATTTATTAGCGCAACAAATTGCACGATCAAATTAAGAGAGCTATATAATTGTAATTCACAATTCCCTTGGTTATACTATTTCTAAGCATATGATCTTTGTTCTCTTATTCTCTCTTTGGCATATATTCCTGTTTTCCTCTTTTTTGTGAAAGAAGAAAAAAACAAATTGTTAGAATAGCTCAAAAATGTTTTATTTCTCTCTCTAGGTGAAGCCAACTGCATATTTGGTGCTGTAGAATTGTTGGGTATGTACTACCTTAGCATTTCTATATTTGAGTGCTTACTGGTCTATGTTTCTTAGGATAGGTATATTACCATTTTACTCTGATTGGAAAAATGTTGGTTGAGTTGTAGATACAACATATTTTCTGGTATTATCAAATTTTGACTTTCTGTTTTTAGTTTTGAGATTTATTGTTTGCTCCTTGATGTTAATTGATGCAAAGTTTTATTTAACTTTATCTTTCTTCGCATTAATTAGTGAGAACTTACTTAGAAATCAAGAAACAATATCTGATCATAAAAGTATGGGAACTGAAATTGACCCATGTACATTTAATTTGACAGTTACTCATAGAGTTGTTATCGAAACCATGGCACTGCGATTGGTGACTAGGAAGTTAGGGAGTAAGCTCTTACCAATGTGCTCTTCTGCTTCTCTACTGCATTCACATGCGACTAGCTTTGGTAACTTCTCTCTCTGACACAGACATGGACATGTATGATTATGCTGTATCTAGAAGTCAACTATCTTCTACTAGTATTTTGTGCATTCAGATACTTAGGTTGGTGCAGAAAATATCTTAATTACACTTTGGATGGATTCTTTGTGAATAACAAAAAGCCAATCAATGCGGTATTTAATCTAAATAAAATTGAATACATATTATAAACATCAATCATGTGAAAAATAGAGAGTGGAAGAAATGCTCAATACAATTTTCCTATTTCAAAGAAAGTCAAAACAAGATAATTAAAATTTGAACCACTGGATCTTTCAAAATCTTACTTTTGAAGGTGATGCTTGAAGAGTGATACCTGTTGCACTTTGACAGCAGCTATATTTTGCTTTGTATTCTGACATTGAAAGAATATGTCTGCAGAATATGCTAGATAAATGTGAGATATTCACTTTTCCCTTGAAGTAAAAGGATATTCTGTGCTTTTTTGGCAAATTTTCCAACAGATAGCTAAAAGAATGTTAAAAGATTTTGTGAGGAGGATGTCAAATTTTTGGGTGGAGGGTTTTTTTTTTCCTTTTTTTTAACTATAAAGTTTTTTATTAAATTAGTAAATGGCACAGATAGAGTTTGAATTCTGGCATGCCTTTTTTGTGCTTCTTTCGTAAAGGATTTTTTTTGATAACATGAAATCCATGGCTTTTCATATGAGTTACTCAAGTTCTAACTTGGGACTACTGTCAGACTTGACAGCTTTAGTGGCTGGAAACTTGTACGATATGTATATATCAATTTTCAGTTACAGGTTTATATTGAATTATTGCTCACTTCAGTTAAATTTTCAGGATATAAAGAAGTACGGGAAGAAGATAAAAGTCAATTGGTTGGTGATGTCTTCAGCAGTGTTGCTTCTAACTATGATCTCATGAATGATTTGATGAGTGGTGGATTGCATAGATTATGGAAGGATAGGTTAGATTCTCAGTGTTATTTATTAGCAATTTTGTCAAATGTGCAAACTACTTTACTTTACCTTCACATTGTTAGATATCCTCTTTGCACTTTTCAGATTGGTTTCCAAACTGAATCCATTCCCAGGAATGAAGCATCTTGATGTGGCTGGTGGAACAGGTCAGTTTAACTTATGTTATAACTATTTGCAGCTTATGTACAGGTATCAGGCTCACTAGAACTGAGAGCATGAGACGTGTGGATGATTAATTCTTTAACTTCAGTTTTTTTTTTTTTTTTTTTTTTCTTTTCATTTGAAGGATTTCAGTTTCGAAGTTCACCTTAATTTTTTTCTTAAAAGAAAAAAAAAAAAAAAAAAAAATTGCTTCATTTCCAAAAGGTGATGAGAATTTCATATATCTCAGCCTTTTACGCCCAAACCATTACATATGAAAACCAAGGTAAAAACAAATAAATTTTTGATACAAGATAATTCTCTGACAATTTAAATGGAGTTTGTCCTGGGGTTACATTAAAATAACTTTAACCTGTTGAATGACTATTTATATTGTCGTAGTGTCGTCAATGTATTATTATTAAATGAAACTTAAAGTTTGCATAAATTTTCTCTACCTAACTGAAACAATAATGAAATTAAGAAGCATCAAGGACCACTTACTCTTTCCTAATTTAAGTGACTTTATATTGACATCTTAAATTTAAAGTACTTATCTTGCAGGGGATGTTTCTTTCAGAATCCTAGAAACCATAACAGCATCAAACGTAGGGGACACAAGATGTTCTTGAAGACGATTTACAGGAAGAAACTCGATATATGTTTGCGACATCAACCCAAACATGTTAAATGTTGGTAAAAAGCGGGCTTAGAGAGAGTAAAAAGAGTATTCCTGATACGAGTTTCTTTCTGAGGCAGTTAATACAAAACGTATTTGAATATTTAGAACTCACTATTTAATCATGACACTTGTAGGTCTTGGAGAGGACAAATCCCTTGTGTGGGTAGAAGGGGATGCAGAAGCCTTGAGCTTTGACAACATACAATGGATGGCTCCACTATTGCATTTGGATTAGAATGTACACTATAGAGAAGGTTCTTGCTGAAGCTTACAGGTACATTGTTTACCTTAACAGCTTTAAAAAAATTAATTGATAGGACACCTGTACTGTTATGTGATATTGTTTATGACTGTTGTAATGAAGTAATATTCATCATGAGCTGTCTTATAATCAATTATTTGTCAGATCTGAAGTATGTTAATTATAAATGATGAATAAAAGATGTCTAGCATGGCATTCTATTATTTTTAGTTAAAAGATCAAGAAGACTGAAAACTGGCTGAGTTTCCATGGATATTAATGTTTTAGCACATTTCTTGTGACTTCTCACCTGTTTGTGCTTGAAGCATGACTGGAATGGATAGAGAACTATATATTATTCTTTTTGTTTGTTGATCTAATATATATTTCATGCTTTAATGATTTGTTCATTAGGGTACTAAAACGCGAGGAAGATTTCTTTGCCTTGAACTGAGCCACGTGGAAATTCCTGTATTTAAGAATTGTGAGTATCTTTTACACTTTATGCGAGAGAAAAAGTCATACTTAATGTCGAGAAACCATTGATCTCAAAAATGTAAGCTGATAAGTCAGCCCCAGTGTAATTTTTAAGTTGTGATAGAGCCCTCACATGCAAAGCTGAAGTTGATCTGCATTCAAACATATACACAATTGCAAACACAAAGACTTTTTTTTTTTTTTTTTTTAAATGAGAGCTTGAACACAAGATCTGTTTGTCAATTCAGCTTTGCTATCATTTTGGAGAATCATTAATATCAAAACATATCTGACAGATAGAACTTACAACATTTTCTTTCAGTTCTAACACTTGATAGACCTCGTACTCAGCATGTTTATTTTGGGTAATTCCACATATTTCACAGATTCATAATGAAAGACACATATTAGTTTCTCTTGATAGTAGTATATAAGTTTACAAAGTTCAAAGTTTCCTGGATTAGCTGCATGGTCTTCTATATAACTTCATCTCACTGCCATCGGGTGACAACCTTTGAAGTTCCTTCTTTAAAGACTTAAATACCCTATATCCTAATATTTAGAATTCACTACATACATATGATTAAGAACTAGTTATTCAATGTGAAGAAGAAATGCCCATTGTTACCAGTTCTATCTGATAGGTTTTGGAAGGCAATTTTTTTACAAGTACTTTTTCTCTTTCTCATGTACTTCATAACTGTAATTTATCTTGCTTTATTTTTTTCCTTTTTGGCCCTTGATGCAGCTACGACTATTATTCATTTCAAGTTTTCCACCATAGGGGAGCTGGTAACAGGTGATCGGGGTTCTTATCAGTATTTAGTTGAGAGCATCCGCCGTTTTCCCACCAGGTAATTGTCAGTTTATTAAATTTTAGTACTTACTGCAATTAGTTTTGCATCCTGATGCCAAGCAGTTGGGTGTGAGGTTGAACCCTGGATGCTGGGTTCATAGTTGTATGTTTCCTTCCCCAATGCTTTTTGAGTGTTCTCCTAGTGGTAATCTCCTGGAGGATATCATGACAACACAAAAATCAATGACATGTTTAGTTCTAGTGCCCACCAAGGGAAAAAGCCATAATTTTTTCCCAGAAATAACTAAATGTCAAATGCCGAACATCTAGAAAGACAAAGAGCAAGTGTTAAAGTTGAATATATTGCCTCTGAGGGAGCAAATTGATTATTGCTTATATACCTTCCACTGTGTGTTTCTTCTGTTATTCTTTTTTGGTTCTGCTATTCTCATCAGTACACGTAGATTGTAGAGTCGGACTCATATCAAGTGTGACTCTGGACCTTCGAAAGATAAAAACTAGTTGTAAATTAAATATGTGCAATACATGAGCATAGATCTTTGAATTTTTGGGATCTCATATTAGGAAGTTGGGAACAGATAAAGGATGGAAAAGAGTTTTTAATCTAAATGGGTTAAGCTTATTAAAATGCTGTTTGTGCTTACAAATTTGCAACTTATGTTCTCCTTTTCAAGTATCCGTGTGAAGTTGCGTATAGATTGAAAAGTTAATGAGGGAATTTTTTGGGGAAGGCTTTGGAGAAGGGAAGGAAGAACATTTAGGGAAGTGGGAGATTGTTACAAGATTGGTTGTAAAGAGTTTGGCAATTGGTAATTTCTATGAGTGAAATGGGGCTTTACGATGAAATTGGTTAAGGAGATTTTATGGTTTCTCGGACAAAGATTGATATTGTATTCTTCATTTTGTATCCAAATAGCCTGCCTTCATTTTAACTCTCTTTTGCTGGACATGGTAACCTTTTTTTTTTTTTTTTTTTTTTTTTTTTTTTTTTTTTTAATAACAAATCTAAATAAGTAATACAAGAAAGTGGCATATATTGGTAAAGCAAATAAGAAGCTGCTTGAAATGAGTTTTACTCAATATGATTTATGTTTAAGATTCTTTAGGCAATTATAAATAGTGTATAAGGGAATATGATTGAATAAAATTTGATTATGGATCGTCTTTCATTTCTGTTTACCTCCTTTTCCCTATGTCTCGATTCTCAATTCTAAGCTCAAATTTGTAATTGAGAATGCAGGAGAATTCGCTTCATGATTGTGGAAGCAGGGTTTCAGAAGGTTGAGTATGAAAATCTTGTTGGAGGAGTTGTCTCCATCCATTCGGATTAAAGATTTAGAGGTCCACATCTGAATCAGAAATCCCCTCTTGCTCAATTTTGTTCAATCAATTTCATTCTTGTTTAATCCTTAGGAAGAAGAAAAAAGTGTTTAACTTCTGAAACCATGATGATATGTTCCATCTTCATACTGTTGGTTTTTTTATACGTTTCACTTTCCACAGTTTGAATAAGTGGACTGGATTTGAAGTGGAAAATTCAGTATAAATTTATTTTATTTTACTTGTTCAATGATTTCATTCTTTACTTTGTGGAGTCTTGGAGATATTATGGTAGGTAAGGATGTTAGTTATAATATCATCCTGATGATATTTTTGGTAATCTAGGATCACCGATTTCTTAAAACTATATTATTATTGCAATTTGTAGAATGAGATTCAACATTACAGACTATATGTATTAACGAGTTTTGTAAATGTAGAAGTTTAATTTCCTAATTATATTTAAAAAAAAAAAATTGTCAATTAATAATTACACTATAACTTATGGAACCTAAATACTCTTCATTATCACTCGTACAAACGTTTTACATATGATTCAATTAACACAATGCATTAAGTAATTTATAGCTAAACCGCGGAAGTTTTAGAAGAAAATTAAATTCACTCTTTAAGGTTTTAGAAATAAAAGAAATCTCTAAACGGTTAAATTTAGATGTTATAAAAAGGGTTTAAACAATTACCTCCCCTGTGGTTTCAGAAATTAAGAGTTGGTCCTTTGGTTATGTGAATTATCCAACCACCTCCTCTGATGTTAGTTTTGTCGTTAAATCTAATAGCTGATCGACTTTGACTTATTCAATAACCCAATTACCCCTAAAAATGAGTTTCTACAAAATTAAGAATTTAAAATTTGACTTGACATAAAATATTCAATAAAATTACCTTGAAGATAAATTCTTTTTAAAACAATTGAAAAACCCAAATAAATATATAAATTTTAAGAATTTTTTTGAACTTGGCAAGGTTTTTATTAATTTTTTTGGTATATTTAAGAAAATTTTTAAAAAAATTTAGGTTTATTTTTTTATTTTTAAGGGTAATATTGTTATTTAGTGGTCAAAATCGATCAAAAGTTATATTTAACTCCAAAAAATAATGGCAAGGAGGTGGTTGGATAATTTGCATAACCGAGGAATGAACTTTGTCAATTTAAAAAAATAATAATACTACACAGTCTACACTTACAAAAAAATCTTACAAAGATTTTCATATACAGTAATGTGATAAAAAATGAATGAAAGTATGAAACAAAAAGTTAAACTCATTATATTCACTCTTCCATTCATTTTTTGTCACATCACTTTGTGTGAAGATCTTTATAAGGTTTCTTTGTAAATATAGTATTATTATTCAAAAAACCACAGGGGAGGTGATTTGTTTACACCCGTTAAAAAAAATAATAAGAAAATAATTTATTAATACAATAATTATTAACTCATTATAGCATAAACTTTAATGACTCACTAACATTTGACCAATAATAGGGAGATTTTTATTATTTCAAAAACCTTAGGGAATTTTGTATTATGTCATATCTTAGAGGGTCTATCTTTTAGCTTCTTTTATTTAGTTTTTAATATATATTTTGGGGAAACCCGGCTTCGTTTGGAAGGCTTTTTTTTCACTATCGTATTTACTATCCTATTAAATCCAATGAAATAATTAAATTTTTAATTAAACTAAAAATCCAATCTTATTCTATTCAATTCAAAACATTTAACAATTACTTTTTTTTTTAATTTATAAATTAATAAAAATACCCTCACCCACCCAAGCCACTGTCACCCGCCAACAACCACCATTGCCACCGTAATGACGCATGATCAGTTGGATCTAGTTGACTGTGAGTCGATCTGTCCATTTCTAGTCGGATCCACCATGGATCTAGTCATCAATGGTAGTCATATCTTGACTGTAATCTGGTCGAAAAAGGCTAGATTGGTACACGACCAATTGGATCCAACCAATCATACGTCATTCCAACGGCTTCCAACCACCTTCCGACGCTGGTGGCCAATTGTTGACAATAGTTAGATGGGTGTGGGTGTTTTTATTAATTTATAAACTATTATTATGGGGGTGTTTAGTTAAATTAACAAATATAGAGAGTTAAAAAATCTAAATATTTTCAAAAAATATTTTTCAAAATACTTTCTCATAATCTTATCCTATTTCATATAAGAATGCTATTTTAAAAAAGCTACCAAACGCAGCCTCTTGCCCCCAAAATTATTTCGGGTGTGGCTTTTATTCCCATCCTCGCATAGAATTTTGCCACAATTAAGTTTAAGTAGACTCCTCTTTCTCTCTTATTATTTTTAGTTTAATTTTATTTATTATATGTATTAGGGTATCAAATACTACTCAAATATCAGGGGTGTATTTAATAATTTACCCTCAGACATGTTATAATAGGTTTACGCACAACCATGAGGTTTATAACACTATTCGCCATCTCCTTGCCTGCAGCTCAAACCCTTAAACCTCAACTTCTCTGCTTCGTACTTGGCGCGAACTAATAAAGCAGATTGAACCCACTTCGACTCCTCCTTCTCTTCTCAGGTTCGTTACTTTTTTTTTTTTTCCTTTATTTATAGTTAGTTGTTATTGTAGCCGTTTTGTTTGATCAGTTAAGAGTTACAATGTTGAAACTATTTCACTTTGAAGCAAACTTTTATGTTACATTTTGACTCACCCCAATTGCTGAATAGTTTGTGAAACGTAGGAATTTTTTGGCATACCAAAAAAAAAAAAGAAAAAAAAAATTATGGGTTTGGTGAAGGGTCTTTGAGTGTTGTAACTCACTCATTTGATTTTATATTAATCATTTGGGGCAGTGTGGTTCTGGTTCGATAACGTTAGCGGTTTTAATTGTGATATTTTTTCAGCCACCTGCTATATGTTAGTGAAGTGATTGTACGTTACAATTAATATTTGCTTGCTAATTTGATAGTTGAATGTTACTAAAATGACGATTTGGGTTGCTAAACCCTAATGGTGGGCATGGGTTGGATTGTTGCTTTCGCCAAAACCAGAGTGACGAGATGAGGGGTTGTGTTTAGGAGTAGACTATTTGTTTGATTATTGAACTATATAACCAAAAAAGTTTGTTTTGAAGATAATAGCTCTGGACCTTCGAAAATAAAAACTAGTTGTAAATTAAATATGTGCAATACATGAGCATAGATCTTTGAATTTTTGGGATCTCATATTAGGAAGTTGGGAACAGATAAAGGATGGAAAAGAGTTTTTAATCTAAATGGGTTAAGCTTATTAAAATGCTGTTTGTGCTTACAAATTTGCAACTTATGTTCTCCTTTTCAAGTACCGTGTGAAGTTGCGTATAGATTGAAAAGTTAATGAGGGAATTTTTTTGGGGAAGGCTTTGGAGAAGGGAAGGAAAACATTTAGGGAAGTGGGAGATTGTTACAAGATTGGTTGTAAAGAGTTTGGCAATTGGTAATTTCTATGAGTGAAATGGGGCTTTACGATGAAATTGGTTAAGGAGATTTTATGGTTTCTCGGACAAAGATTGATATTGTATTCTTCATTTTTATCCAAATAGCCTGCCTCATTTTAACTCTCTTTTGCTGGAATGGTAACCTTTTTTTTTTTTTAATAACAAATCTAAATAAGTAATACAAGAAAGTGGCATATATTGGTAAAGCAAATAAGAAGCTGCTTGAAATGAGTTTTACTCAATATGATTTATGTTTAAGATTCTTTAGGCAATATAAATAGTGTATAAGGGAATATGATTGAATAAAATTTGATTATGGATCGTCTTTCATTTCTGTTTACCTCCTTTTCCCTATGTCTCGATTCTCAATTCTAAGCTCAAATTTGTAATTGAGAATGCAGGAGAATTGCTTCATGATTGTGGAAGCAGGGTTTCAGAAGGTTGAGTATGAAAATCTTGTTGGAGGAGTTGTCTCCATCCATTCGGATTAAAGATTTAGAGGTCCACATCTGAATCAGAAATCCCCTCTTGCCAATTTTTTCAATCAATTTCATTCTTGTTTAATCCTTAGGAAGAAGAAGAAAAGTGTTTTAACTTCTGAAACCATGATGATATGTTCCATCTTATACTGTTGGTTTTTTTATACGTTTCACTTTCCACAGTTTGAATAAGTGGACTGGATTTGAAGTGGAAAATTCAGTATAAATTTATTTTATTTTACTTGTTCAATGATTTCATTCTTTACTTTGTGGAGTCTTGGAGATATTATGGTAGGTAGGATTAGTTATAATATCATCCTGATGATATTTTTGGTAATCTGGTCACCGATTTCTTAAAACTATATTATTATTGCAATTTGTAGAATGAGATTCAACATTACAGACTATATGTATTAACGAGTTTTTGTAAATGTAGAAGTTTAATTTCCTAATTATATTTAAAAAAAAAAATTGTCAATTAATAATTACACTATAATTAATAACCTAAATACTCTTCATTATCACTGTACAAACGTTTTACATATATTCAATTAACACAATGCATTAAGAATTTTAGCTAAACCCGGAAGTTTTAGAAAAAATTAAATTCACTCTTTAAGGTTTTTAAAAAAAGAAATCTCTAAACGTTAAAACCATTACATATGAAAAACCAAGGTAAAAACAAATAAATTTTTGATACAGGATAATTCTCTGACAATTTTAATGGAGTTTGTCCTGGGGTTACATTAAAATAACTTTAACCTGTTGGAATGACTATTTATATTGGTCGTAGTGTTGTCAATGTATTATTATTTAAATGAAACTTAAAGTTTGCATAAATTTTCTCTACCTATCTGAAACAATAATGAAATTAAGAAGCATCAAGTGACCACTTACTCTTTCTTAATTTAAGTGACTTTTATATTGACATCTTAAATTTAAAGTACTTATCTTGCAGGGGATGTTTCTTTCAGGATCCTAGAAACCATAAACAGCATCAAACGTAGGGAAACACAAGATGTTCTTGAAGACGATTTACAGGAAGAAACTCGGATATATGTTTGCGACATCAACCCAAACATGTTAAATGTTGGTAAAAAGCGGGCCTTAGAGAGAGGTAAAAAGAGTATTCCTGATACGAGTTTTCTTTCTGAGGCAGTTAATACAAGAACGTATTTGAATATTTGAGAAGCTCCACTATTTAATCATGACACTTGTAGGTCTTGGAGAGGACAAATCCCTTGTGTGGGTAGAAGGGGATGCAGAAGCCTTGAGCTTTGACAATCATACAATGGATGGCTACACTATTGCATTTGGGATTAGGAATGTTACACATATAGAGAAGGTTCTTGCTGAAGCTTACAGGTACATTGTTTACCTTAACAGCTTTAAAAAAATTAATTGATAGGACAGACTGTACTGTTATGTGATATTGTTTATGACTGTTGTAATGACAGTAATATTCATCATGAGCTGTCTTTATAATCAATTATTTTGTCAGATCTGAAGTATGTTAATTATAAATGATGAATAAAAGGATGTCTAGCATGGCAATTCTATTATTTTTAGTTAAAAGATCAAGAAGACTGAAAAACTGGCTGAGTTTTCCATGGATATTAATGTTATTATCAGAATTTCTTGTGACTTCTCACCTGTTGTGCTTGAAGCATGACTGGAATAAATAGAGAACTATATATTATTCTTTTTGTTTGTTGATCTAATATATATTTCATGCTTTAATGATTTGTTCATTAGGGTACTAAAACGCGGAGGAAGATTTCTTTGCCTTGAACTGAGCCACGTGGAAATTCCTGTATTTAAAGAATTGTGAGTATCTTTTACACTTTATGCGAGAGAAAAAGTCATACTTAATGTCGAGAAACCATTGATCTCAAAAATGTAAGCTGATAAGTCAGCCCCAGTGGTAATTTTTAAGTTGTAATAGAGCCCTCACATGCAAAGCTGAAGTTGATCTGCATTCAAACATATACACAATTGCAAACACAAAGACTTTTTTTTTTTTTTTTTTTTAAATGAGAGCTTGAACACAAGATCTGTTTGTCAATTCAGCTTTGCTATCATTTTGGAGAATCATTAATATCAAAACATATCTGACAGATAGAAGCTTAACAACAGTTTCTTTCAGTTCTAACACTTGATAGACCTCGTACTCAGCATGTTTATTTTTGGGTAATTCACATATTTCACAGATTCATAATGAAAGACACATATTAGTTTCTCTTGATAGTAGTATATAAGTTTACAAAGTTCAAAGTTTCCTGGATTAGCTGCATGGTCTTCTATATAACTTCATCTCACTGCCATCGGGTGACAACCTTTGAAGTTCCTTCTTTAAAGACTTAAATAACCTATATCATCTAATATTTAGAATTCACTACATAGCATATGATTAAGAACTAGTTATTCAATGTGAAGAAGAAATGCCCATTGTTACCAAGTTCTATCTGATAGGTTTTGGAAGGCAATTTTTTTACAAGTACTTTTTCTCTTTCTCATGTACTTCATAAACTGTAATTTATCTTTGCTTTATTTTTTTTCCTTTTTTGGCCCTTGATGCAGCTACGACTATTATTCATTTCAAGTTATTCCAGCCATAGGGGAGCTGGTAACAGGTGATCGGGGTTCTTATCAGTATTTAGTTGAGAGCATCCGCCGTTTTCCACCACAGGTAATTGTCAGTTTATTAAATTTTAGTACTTACTGCAATTTAGTTTTGCATCCTGATGCCAAGCAGTTGGGTGTGAGGTTGAACACATGGGATGCTTGGGTTCATAGTTGTATGTTTCCTTCCCCAATGCTTTTTGAAGTGTTCTCCTAGTGGTAATCTCCTGGAGGATTTAGCGACATGAACGACAAAAAAATCAATGACATGTTCAGTTCTAGTGCCCAACAAGGGAAAAAAGCCATAATTTTTTTCCCAGAAATAACTAAATGTCAAATGCCAAACATCTAGAAAGACCAAAGAGCAAGTGTTAAGAGTTGAATATATTGCATCCTGAGGGAGCAAATTGATTATTGCTTATATACCTTCCACTGTGTGTTTCTTCTGTCTATTCTTAATTTGGTTCTGCTATTCTCATCAGTAGCACGTAGATTGTAGAGTCGGACTCAATATCAAGTGTGATCTCTGGACCTTCGAAAGATAAGAAACTAGTTGTAAATTAAAATATGTGCAATACATAGAGCATAGATCTTTGAATTTTTGGGATCTCATATTAGGAAGTTGGGAACAGATAGAAGGATGGAAAAGAGTTTTTAATCTAAATGGGTTAAGCTTATTAAAATGCTGTTTGTGCTTACAAATTTGCAACTTATGTTCTCTCTTTTCAAGTATCTGTGTGAAGTTGCGTATAGGATTGAAAAGTTAATGAGGGAATTTTTTTGGGGAAGGCTTTGGAGAAGGGAAGGAAGAAACATTTAGGGAAGTGGGAGATTGTTACAAGATTGGTTGTAAAGAGTTTGGCAATTGGTAATTTCTATGAGTGAAATGGGGCTTTACGATGAAATTGGTTAAGGAGATTTTATGGTTTCTCGGACAAAGATTGATATTGTATTCTTCAATTTTGTATCCAAGATAGCCTGCCTTCATTTTAACTCTCTTTTGCTGGATATGGTAACCTGTTTTTTTTTTTTTAATAACAAATCTAAAATAAGTTAATAACAAGAAAGTGGCATGTATTGGTAATAGCAAATAAGAAGCTGCTTGAAATGTAGTTTTACTCAATATGATTTATGTTTAAGATTCTTTTAGGCAATTATAAATAGTGTATAAGGGAATATGATTGAATAAAATTTGATTATGGATCGTCTTTCATTTCTGTTTACCTCCTTTTCCCTATGTCTCGATTCTTCAATTCTAAGCTCAAATTTGTAATTGATGAATGCAGGAGAAATTTGCTTCGATGATTGTGGAAGCAGGGTTTCAGAAGGTTGAGTATGAAAATCTTGTTGGAGGAGTTGTCTCCATCCATTCAGGATTAAAGATTTAGAGGTCCACATCTGAATCAGAAATCCCCTCTTGCCCAATTTTATTCAATCAATTTCATTCTTGTTTAATCCATTAGGAAGAAGAAGAAGAAGAAAGTGTTTTAACTTCTGAAACCATGATGACTATGTTCCATCTTTATACATGTTGGTTTTTTTATACGTTTCACGTTCCACAGTTTGAATAAGTGGACTGGATTTGAAGTGGAAAAAACATGTATATAATTTCAGAATAAATTTATTTTATTTTACTTGTTCAATGATTTCATTCTTTACTTGTTGGAGTCTTGGAGATGAATTATGGTAGGTAAAGGATGTTAGTTAATAATATCATCCTGAGTGATATTTTTGGTAATCTTAGGGATCACGATTTCTTAAAACTATATTATTATTGCAATTTGTAGAATGAGATTCAACATTACAGACTATATGATATTAACGAGTTATGTAAAATGTAAATGTAGAAGTTTAATTTCCTAATTATATTTATAAACAAAAAATTGTCAATTAATAATTACACTATAATTTAATAAAACCTAAGTACTCTTCATTATCACTTGTACAAACGTTTTACATATGATTCAATTAACACAATGCATTAAGCAATTTATAGCTAAACCCCGGAAGTTTTAGAAAATAATTAAATTCACTCTTTAAGGTTTTATAAAAAAAAGAAATCTCTAAACTGTTAAATTTAGACGTTATAAAAAGGGTTTGAACAATTACCTCCCCTGTGGTTTCAGAAATTAAGAGTTGGTCCTTTGGTTATGTGAATTATCCAACCACCTCCTCGGATGTTAGTTTTGTCGTTAAATCTAATAGCTGATCGACTTTGACTTATTCAATAACCCAATTACCCCTAAAAATGAGTTTCTACAAAATTAAGAATTTAAAATTTGACTTAACATAAAATATTCAATAAAATTACCTTGAAGATAAATTCTTTTTAAAAAAATTGAAAAACCCAAATAAATATATAAATTTTAAGAATTCTTTTGAACTTGGTAAGGTTATTATTAATTTTTTTTTGGTATATTTAAGAAAAAATTTAAAAACTTTTAGGTTTTTTTTTTTATTTTTAAAAGTATTTTTAAGGGTAAGTGGTCAAGATTGATCAAAAGTTATATTTAACTGCAAAAAATAATGACAAGGAGGTGGTTGGATAATTCGCATAACTAAGGAATGAACTTTGTCAATTTAAAAAAACAATAATATTATACTTACAAAGAAATCATACAAAGATTTCCATATAAAGTGACGTGATAAAAAATGAATGAAAAAGTGAAATAAAATATCAAACTCATTATGTTCATTTTTTGTCACATCACTTTGTATGAAGATCTTTGTAAGATATTTTTGTAAATGTAGCATTACTATTAAAAAAAACCACAGGGGAAGTGATTTGTTTACCCCCTTAAAAAAAATAATAAGAAAACAATTTATTAATACAATATTTATTAACTCATAATAGCATAAACTTTAATGACTCACTAACATTTCACCAATAATAGAGAGATTTTTATTATTTCAAAAATCTTAGGGAATTTTGTATTATGTCATATCTTAGAGGGTCTATCTTTTAGCTTCTTTTATTTAGTTTTTAATATATATTTTGGGGAAATCCGGCTTCGTTTGAAAGGCTTTTTTTCACTATCGTATTTACTATCTTATTCAATCCAATGAAATAATTAACTTTTTTTTATTAAACTAAAAAGTCAATCTAATTATATTCAATTCAAAACATTTAACAATTACCTTTTTAATAAAAGTTTATAAATTAATAAAAACACCCCCACCCACCCAAGCCATTGTCACCCGCCAGCAGCCACCACTGCCACCGTAACGACGCACGATCAGTTGGATCTAGCCGGTTGTGGGTCGATCTGTCCATTTCTGACCGGATCCACCATAGATCTGGCTATCAATGATAACCATATCTTGGCTGTAATATGGTCGAAAAAGGCCAGATTGGTGCACGACCAGCTAAATCCAACCGGTCGTATGCCATTCCAACGGCTTCCAACCACCTTCTGATGCTAGTGGCCAATTGTTGACAATAGTTGGATGGATGGGAGTGTTTTTGTTAATTTTTAAACTAATATTATGGGGGTGTTTAGTAAAATTAATAAATATAGAAGGTTAAAATGAATCTAAATATTTTCAAAACACATGTATTCTATCCTATTTCATTAAATACTATTCTATTATAGAATGCTATTCTAAAATACCTACCAAACGCAGCCATCTTGCCCCCAAAATTATTTCGGGTATGGCTTTTATTCCCATCCTCGCATAGAATTTTGCCACAATTAAGTAGACCAACAAAGCTACGGACACCGAAAATGTGTACCGGCCTATGTGTAACACGCCTTTGATTTTTTTAATAATTTTTTTCTAGTGAACGGTCATTCATCAAATTTGGACGGTCGTTCACTCACATGAACGCCTGTCCATATTATATGGATGGACGTCCATATACAAGGGATGGGCGTCCCCATTTAAAGGACGCCCGTCCATAAATAAAATATGAAAAAAAAAAAAAAACTTTGGGGACGGCCGTCCATAAATTTTGGACGGCCGTCCTTAGGAATGGACGCTCGTCCATACTTTAAAAAAAAAAAAAAAAAAAAAGTTTGGACAGGCGTCCATTATTTTGGTTTCTACAAATTAAAGAAAAACTTTGGATGGGACGGGCGTTCGTAAGGAATGGACGCCCGTCCATTACTTACGTTTTTAAAAATAAAACAAAAACTTACAGTTTCACGCAAGGCTGATGGGTTTGAGATCGGTAATGCAGTTAGGAAGTGTTCGTATCTCACTTTCAATCCAGTGTCTTTCATTCTTTTCTTGAGTATATGGATTCGCTTACTTGCATTATCTATTCGACGAGTATCAGTAAATGCAGTATCAGCTACTGGATTGCAACAACGAGCAAGGAAGTCACGCTTTTCTCTCGGATACACTGAAGGGTCGCTTCAGTACAGAGAGTAGCAAGATCTGCTCCCACATAACCATAGGTATCTCTTGCAACTCTTTCAAGATCAACCTAAAACATGCCATCAAATAAGAATGTCACTATACTAAAGAAAAAAGACATAAAATGATTTATAAAGAAAAAAGACATAAAATGATTTATAAAAGACAAAGAGATGAAGCAGATAAGAGTCCTGCATCTTCCATGCTTTTAGCAAAAGTTTATAATTATATTTTTAATTTAGGGTAAGAGAACGAGAAGTTTTGAATATTTTAAAGCATCCATGACCATGAATACGATCAAGCTCTGGTTCAGTCTCAGTTTTATCCTTCTCTTTTGTGTGACATGCAGTTAATCATGGTTCAAGAATTGCGTAGCAAGTTAGAGCAACTGGAGACGCTGTTCTCCAGGTTGAGGTCCCTCAAAAATCCTAATGACCTTTGTAAAAAGGTAATTCCATGGAGGCAAGAGTTTAAGATTTTCGAGGAAGTCAGTAGCGATGAAGAGAATAAGGATAAGCTACACAACTTCAACCAGGATGCAAACGTACAGACTGTTGGAGGACGTCAAAAAGTTGGCTGATGATGTGCAGGAGATACTGCATGAGATTGCTATCATTGGAAAGAGTTCACAAAAGCGTGGCTTCCTTGCTCGTTGTCGCAATCCAGTAGCTGATACTGCATTTACTGATACTCGTCGAATAGATAATGCAAGTAAGCGAATCCATAGACTCAAGAAAAGAATGAAAGACACTGGATTGAAAGTGAGATACGAACACTTCCTAACTGCATTGCCGATCTCAAACCCATCAGCCTTGTGTGAAACTGTTAGTTTTTGTTTTATTTTTAAAAACGTAAGTAATGGACGGGCGTCCATTACGGATGCCCGTCCCATCCAAAGTTTTTCTTTAATTTGTAGAAACCAAAATAATGGACGTAATGGACGCCCGTCCAAACGTTCTTTTTTTTTTTTTTAAAGTATGGACGCCCGTCCAAACATAAGGGACGGGCGTCCATTAGGAATGGACAGTCCAAAATTTATGGACGGCCGTCCCCAAAGTTTTTTTTTTTTTATTTTCATATTTTATTTATGGACGGGCGTCCTTTAAATGGGGATGCCCGTCCCTTATATATGGACGCCCGTCGTCCATGTGAGTGAACGACCGTCCAAATTTGATGGACGGCCGTTCACTAGAAAAAAAATTGTTAAAAAAATTGGAGGCGTGTTACACGTAGGTTGGTACATATTTTCGGCGTCCGTAGCTTTGTTGTTAAGTAAACTCCTCTTTCTCTCTTATTATTTTTAGTTTAATTTTATTTATTATATATATTAGGGTATCAAATATTAGGGGTGTCTTTAATATTTAACCTCAGACATGTTATAATAGGTTTACGCACAACCATGAGGTTTATAGCACCATTCGCCATCTCCTTGCCTGCAGCTCAAACCCTTAAACCTCCACTTCTTTGCTTCGTACTTGGCGCGAACTAACAAAGCAGATTGAACCCACTTCGACTCCACCTTCTCTTCTCAGGTTCGTTACTTTTTTTTTTTTCCTTTATTTATATTTAGTTGTTATTGTAGCCGTTTTGTTCGATCAGTTAAGAGTTACAATGTTGAAACTATTTCACTTTGAAGCAAACTTTAATTAATAACTAAAGAATAGGGAATTTTGTATTATGTCATATCTTAGAGGGTCTATCTTTTAGCTTCTTTTATTTAGTTTTTAATATATATTTTGGGGAAACCCGGCTTCGTTTGGAAGGCTTTTTTTTCACTATCGTATTTACTATCCTATTAAATCCAATGAAATAATTAAATTTTTAATTAAACTAAAAATCCAATCTTATTCTATTCAATTCAAAACATTTAACAATTACTTTTTTTTTTAATTTATAAATTAATAAAAATACCCTCACCCACCCAAGCCACTGTCACCCGCCAACAACCACCATTGCCACCGTAATGACGCATGATCAGTTGGATCTAGTTGACTGTGAGTCGATCTGTCCATTTCTAGTCGGATCCACCATGGATCTAGTCATCAATGGTAGTCATATCTTGACTGTAATCTGGTCGAAAAAGGCTAGATTGGTACACGACCAATTGGATCCAACCAATCATACGTCATTCCAACGGCTTCCAACCACCTTCCGACGCTGGTGGCCAATTGTTGACAATAGTTAGATGGGTGTGGGTGTTTTTATTAATTTATAAACTATTATTATGGGGGTGTTTAGTTAAATTAACAAATATAGAGAGTTAAAAAATCTAAATATTTTCAAAAAATATTTTTCAAAATACTTTCTCATAATCTTATCCTATTTCATATAAGAATGCTATTTTAAAAAAGCTACCAAACGCAGCCTCTTGCCCCCAAAATTATTTCGGGTGTGGCTTTTATTCCCATCCTCGCATAGAATTTTGCCACAATTAAGTTTAAGTAGACTCCTCTTTCTCTCTTATTATTTTTAGTTTAATTTTATTTATTATATGTATTAGGGTATCAAATACTACTCAAATATCAGGGGTGTATTTAATAATTTACCCTCAGACATGTTATAATAGGTTTACGCACAACCATGAGGTTTATAACACTATTCGCCATCTCCTTGCCTGCAGCTCAAACCCTTAAACCTCAACTTCTCTGCTTCGTACTTGGCGCGAACTAATAAAGCAGATTGAACCCACTTCGACTCCTCCTTCTCTTCTCAGGTTCGTTACTTTTTTTTTTTTTCCTTTATTTATAGTTAGTTGTTATTGTAGCCGTTTTGTTTGATCAGTTAAGAGTTACAATGTTGAAACTATTTCACTTTGAAGCAAACTTTTATGTTACATTTTGACTCACCCCAATTGCTGAATAGTTTGTGAAACGTAGGAATTTTTTGGCATACCAAAAAAAAAAAAGAAAAAAAAAATTATGGGTTTGGTGAAGGGTCTTTGAGTGTTGTAACTCACTCATTTGATTTTATATTAATCATTTGGGGCAGTGTGGTTCTGGTTCGATAACGTTAGCGGTTTTAATTGTGATATTTTTTCAGCCACCTGCTATATGTTAGTGAAGTGATTGTACGTTACAATTAATATTTGCTTGCTAATTTGATAGTTGAATGTTACTAAAATGACGATTTGGGTTGCTAAACCCTAATGGTGGGCATGGGTTGGATTGTTGCTTTCGCCAAAACCAGAGTGACGAGATGAGGGGTTGTGTTTAGGAGTAGACTATTTGTTTGATTATTGAACTATATAACCAAAAAAGTTTGTTTTGAAGATAATATCAATTTGAGATATATGTAAATTAAAAAGAAAAAAACCAAGTGTTTTGACCCATGCCGACTATTTGACAGCTTGGTGGGGCAGTGGGTGGTGGCTGTCTAGTCTCCTCTAGTATCTTGCTGTTTTGTGATTTAGATTTGAGCGTGTTGCTGTTGCCTAGGCTAGATTCACATCCTTGTTTTAAGGCTTATTATCATGGTAAGTGGAGTTTTTGATGGACTTTTGAGTTTATTGACAGGAGATGTCGAACCGGCCAGAGTTAAAAGCACCACCTGAGATATTCTATGATGCTGAAGAGGCTCGCAAATACACTTCATCCTCTCGTATAATTGAAATTCAGGTTTGTTTTATTTCATTTATTTTTAATTATCTTCTTTACTCTATATTTTATTTGTCTTTTCATGGATAGAAGAAAGATAACTGAATTCAAGCGTGTTTGTTTTTACAGGCACAACTTTCAGAGAGAGCTCTAGAGCTTCTTGCTTTGCCTGATGATAGAGTCCCAAGATTGCTCCTCGATATTGGTAAAAATCACACTCCTTCTATCGGCACTTAAAGTAGTTGAGATAATTCATATCATTAGATAAATCAAATTAATCTAGGTCATTGGGTCATTTTTTCAGTGTTGAGTAAACTTCTATATAATTCTTTTCTTGGATTTTGATTTGCCTCATGCTCTTGGTTTGTTACTGGCTCTCGAGATGTATGCATAGTAACTTTATAAGTCATGGAAATCTTAAAGTAATACCAAATTATTATTTAACATTTGGATGCCAACTTTTATTGGTTTTGGTACTATTCTGTAGGTTGTGGATCAGGTCTTAGTGGAGAGACATTATCTGAGAATGGGCACCAATGGATCGGTCTAGACATTTCACCATCCATGCTTGGTACGTAACCATTGAATTTAGTCAAATAAAAAAAAAAAAATTTTGCTAGAGAGTTTATTTCTTATATATTTGTGTTTTAATGATAATTTTTTTTTTTCCAAATACAGATATTGCATTGGAGCGGGAGGCTGAGGGTGATTTGTTACTTGGAGACATGGGTCAGGTACCAACCAAGTCCTTTTGCTTTCTGTTGATACTTGTGATATCTTTATGTTATTGTAAATAGCATATAATTGTGTGTAAATAGGATTTGCAATGTCTATTATAGTGCTTGGGGATAGAGTGCTGGGTTAACACGTCCTTTTCATTTGAACACTGAACGATATTTTAGGCTTGATTTCTAAAATTACCTTTTCTATATTCTTTTTTATTTATATATCTCTTGCAGAAATGCACCTTTAAAAAAAAAAAAAAAAAAAAAAAAAAAAAAAAAAAAAAAAAAATCTGATGCTTAGTCTCTCTCTCTCATGCATGTTTTCAATTGTACCAAGATAGATAGTTGTACTACATAATGATCATTGTTGAATCTCTGTGTGTTTTAATCTTTCAAATTAATTTGCTTGCTTTGTTTGTTATGCAATTGTTTCCAAAAGTCAATAAAAATTGAAACTCTCTCACTCTCATGTATGTCTTCAATCAGTATCATTATTGAATCCTTGTCTCCTGTGTATTTTTATCAAGTTTTTTGTTTGCTCTGGCTTGTTGGGGAACTGGTTCTGAAAGTCATTTCTTTAATAAGAGCTTGTCTTGTATTTGTATTTTGATGCATAATACTAACTTGCAGTCTGACTTAGGAATAACTTCAGTTAGGAGTTAGCAGGAGTTGTAATATGTTTTTTTTTTTTAATGTTTCAGGGTTTAGGTTTTCGCCCTGGAGTTATTGATGGGGCTATCAGTATCTCTGCTGTTCAGGTTTGCTTTTTGCTTCACTTGATAGATATGTTTTGTCTGTTAGCAATTATAGGGATGTACTTGAAAAATTGCTTGGAAAGAAAACCTGTTAACTCTTCCTGTCAGTGCAAGTCTTCTAGCTACTTTGTTAGCAGATTTTTAAGCTGAATACAGACTTCCCTTTGCAATTTTGTTTCTCAGCACACTTTTTTAAAAACAATCTAATGAAAAAAAGATGAAGACATGAACTAATTAGTTATGCTTTACCACTAATTGGATTTATGTTGACAAGATCATAGCTTCAGCTCAATCTTGTATGATTTGTATGAGACCTGAGTTGGTGATCATCGTACTTTTAACTTGACCATAACACTTTTACCAAGTTTCAGTATTTACATACTGGTTTTGGTTAAATAGGCAGTGTGTGGCAAAGTGCCAGGAAGATTTAGAATCAGTTGTGAGTGAGAGAGAAGCTGATTTAAATTTGGTGGTTTATCAGCTAAATTGAACTTTATGAATGGAGGCCATATTTTTTCTCTTCCCAATGATAATTTTTGACATCTTACAAATCTTGAATTATGGATACTGAGAGGATATATTGAAAAGAGACATTAATTTAGTGATGAGTTATTTATGTTAACATCTGAAATGAAGTGGTAGTTATCTAGTCAGAGATGCTATCAAATAGACCTTATGTTTTTGCAAGCGTGAAGAGATGTTATTTACCCAATTGTTCATACCAGAAAGGTCTTGTGGTAGAGGCACATTCTTAAGATGCAGATGACAGTTTTTTTCATATTCAAAACCAATAAAATAGTGGGTGGGTGTTCTAGGACTCTTCTTATGATTTATATCACAAATTTTAGATCATCAATGGCGACAAGTTTCTATGTTAATTAAGTCTTGGTATAAAAAAAATACCAGTAATCTGCATGTTAAGTAATTTGTTTCAAATTTTGCATTGCCTGGATTTAATTACTGTTGGCTAACTACAATTAATGTTACAATATTTGGGGCTAATTTCCTTCATAAGCTCATATAGGTAGTAGTTTTAACATTATAATCTTGTTTTGAGAACATATGTTTTTCATTAGTTTTTAGATACCATCCCATGTTTATTAGTGCGACAGTGGAGTGCCAATATTCAAGATTCTTTTCTGCTGGCATCTTGCTAATTTTTTCCTTTTTTGACCTTTTGTGGGTGAGCAGTGGTTATGCAATGCTGACAAGTCTTCTCATGAGCCACGATTACGATTGAAGTATGTTTGGATTCTCTCATCTTTTTCTCCTTTATTCATCTTTAACTTTCTGAGTTGCAATTTAGTTAAAAATACATGGGGATGTGTTTCTTTTTACTGTTGTGATAAAATCCTTAAGGGTTTCATCAAGTGAAATATCCTTTGCTTTAGGATTGTCTCTTGAGTTGCGGAACTAATAATTTTTTTTTCTCAATCTCTTTCTTTAGGGCTTTCTTTGGATCATTATATAGAATCTTGGCAAGGGGAGCAAGAGCAGTATTTCAAGTATATCCTGAAACTGTAGCACAGCGTGAATTGATATTAGGTTCAGCAATGCGAGCTGGGTTTGCTGGTGGTGTTGTTGTTGACTACCCACATAGGTATGCTAGAGATCTGGTGAGAAAGCATTCATTTAATGGGCTTTTCATCAAATCTATGGGATGAAGCTGGCTGTTTTTTAGCATGTTCATTCAGTGCACAGCTTCTCTGGCGTTGCTGTTTTTCCTTTTACCTTCCAGCATATCTTTTTCTTCTGACCAATTATAATCTTTCTTTTTCTATCTTAAATTTCTTTGTTAACGTTGTGGTTGCCAAACAATTAATCAATTCCTTCTAGTAAACTGGCGGAATTAGATTTTCTCAATAATGGTAATAGATAACTATCATTTTCTGGAAAAAAATTCTTTGATGTTTGATTTACTTCGAAAGTCGTAATAAAATATCTTTATATGCTGGTGAAATGTTCATCATGTTAATTTCCATGGGTCATTGAATTGAGAATACTTGTCTCATTGCAGTTCCAAGAAAAGAAAAGAATTTCTAGTCCTCACTTGTGGTCCACCATCCATACGTTCTGAGGTTCCTAAGGGAAAAGTTGAAGCCATGGAAAGTTGCTCTGACGATGAGAGTAGTGAAGATGAAGAAAATCAGACGGTAAACTGTGATAAACATCTCTAATTGCTGACGTTTTATTATCATGGGTGTGCTTTTTTTCTTTTTAATTTTCTTTTCGCTCATGCAGGTTTGCAATTCAGACCGACATAGGCCCAGGAAAAAGCAGAAAATAAACAAGAAGAAAGGGAAAGGTAGAGAATGGGTACTTAAGAAAAAGGAACAAATGAGAAGAAAAGGAAATGCAGTGCCCCCAGACACAAAGTACACAGCTCGAAAACGGAAGGCCCGCTTTTGAAACTCTTCAACAGATCTAAGCAGGAAAACCTGCTCTACTTTGCCTGAACATTCCAATCTATATATCAGTAAGTATTGAGGCATTATGCAGCTCCGCTCTTCAAGCCCTGATGAAGTTCAGTCGTATCCGCTGGGAAACCGGCATAAAAATGTTAATTCTTGTCAGGTGAGTGTATGAGGCACAGTTTTGTTTAAATATTTACTTTCGAGGATCTTAGGTAACTTTGATGCAAAAGGTTTGCAAGCATTGTTTAAATTATGGTATTACGTTGATAGTTTAGAACTTGAATCATACATAGAATCGAGTTTGAGAGTGACATTTTCCTTGCAGAGAACCGCAACGAAAGTTTGTAAGGATGTTGACTATTTCAAGCTTATGTTGCATAATAGAATTAAATTCTCTTATAATATTGAATTTATGAATTTGGTTTTGCTGTTTTTGTTAAATACGATATTGAATTTTTAGACGGAGATTATCGTAAATTACGGTAATTACGTCTAAGGTTTTTAAATTTATATTCGAATGACAACTTTCTTACTTTTTATCAGACTACCCTTAAAGTTTGAAGTTGTATCATAAAATACCTTTTTAGTAATACTATGTTTACAAACATTTTTTATTAATTTTCTCTCATAAACGTGATGTGTTCATTGTTTTAAAACTCGGATCGGAAGGTAACCCGTTTTGTTGCTCGGGTCAACGGGTCCAACCGGTTAGATCAGTCGGTTGGATCGATGATGTCAGCAATAATTTTATTTTTAAAAAATTACATATTAATCTTTTAAATTTTAATATATTACAAAAATTCCCCTAAAGAGTTCAATTAGTTTCTAGAATTTTTATTTATTTCAAAAATGCCCTAAAAAATTACCAAGTAATCCTTAAACTTTTGATATATCTCCAAAACACCCTTATAAAATTACAATTAACCCTTATAATTTTAAAATATTATAAAAACTCCCCTAAGACCTGAACTGGACTAGAGAAGTTGTCGGGTCCAGGTCGGACCAACTAGTCCAGTCTGGTTTTTAAAACAGAGGACGTGTTAGCTCGCAATTGGTCAGTTCACATGGTTCTCGCCTAATCAAGCCAATTGCTAGTTGTCAAATGGGATTAGTAAGAGATGTTTGTGAAGCTAGTATTATTGATACCTTTTTGTATTATCAAATGGATCCTTAAAATTTAAAAACTTTATCATAGACACTCTTTTTTGCTATTCCTATCATGTTGTCCTTAGGTTTGTAAAACACTTTCTTATATAATTGAAGTTACCATTTTACCCTACCACTTTCTTATAAGGTCAAAGATATCATTTTACTTATCTTAAAAAATTGACGATATAACAGAATCAGAGTAAAGAGTTATTTATGATACAGTTTCAAATTTTAAGAATAGTTTTTGATTAAAAAAAAAACAAAAGTGTAAAAGTTATCTGAATGATAAATTTGGAAATTTTAAAAATAATAAGATAATCTCTAATTTTTTAAATTTGGACGTGCTGCATGAAGTTCAAATTAACTAAATAAATAAAAGTGGAAATCAAGGGAAAATTTTCAGTCATGTGACATTTGAAAGCGTTTTAATGTCAATCTACCAATTCTTCTGAGACCATAAATACTATTAACTATTCTCTATATCAGTCTCTCAGTTTCCTTTTAACACAATTGACATCCTCCTACTCCTATCCTATGAGCAATTAAGTTATAATAAAATTACATAACTCGTCATTTCATTGGCACTTAAGAAACTTATAGTTTATATTACTCTGCGGAGTAGAACTCATTTATTATGATATTAAACTCATGCTCTTTTGAGACGGTGATGGATTTAAACCCCAACCTTACACATAGGATATCACTAAGTTAGCTCCCTTTTCCTTTGAGCTAGTTTTTGGAAGTGAATCATATCCATTATCCCAAGTCATTTATTAAATTGGATTCAACCAACATATCTTTATAAAATTAGCATCTCTTTTAAATTAACTGATTGCTCAAAAACTATGGTAATAAAATTGGACTACAAAACCAATCTTATGTTTATTTGGTTTATACCAATTGGTAACACAGTGTTTAAATACTCTATAAGACTCTGAAATTCAATTGTCTACCTATTTCGGTATTTCCTGAAACAAAAATCAGAATCATTGCTTAAATTCCCAGAAGCTTAGAACTGGCCCTGCCCAATAGTATTATATCCAACTTCTCTACTAGTATTACTACCAAAGTAAAATACAAGAAAAATTCTACAACAATTTTTCATTTCCATAAATACCACACCTTGCAATAAACAATTCCACTACATAAATTTACAGGTTTTCTTCCAAATAATCTCCTTCAACATCTTATCACTTATAACCCACCAATCATCCTATTTTCATAATTCTTTATGCTCAATAATTGTCTTTCAGATACATAAACCACACTGTTTTAACATTTACATATTTACTCCTGGAACATAATTTACCACTAAATTGCATGTATTTTTGTCACAGGAAGCCTTCTTCAGAATGTATTGCTTGGATACAATTGTTTCATGTCATTCCAGGTTTTAGCTCACCTGCTTTCATAGACCACAGCAGGAGCGACACTGGACTGAGGCTTGGGACGATTATGTACGTGTTGCCATCATGATCCTGATGACTGATTATCTGCTTGTACAATATATAAAAAGCTCGAATTTAAAGGAAATATCGTGGAACTAATTAAAAATGACTAATGATTGTAAATGTGTCTCGCAGGTTTTACTAATTTTAATTACTATTAAAGATTAATCAGTCACTTCTCATATGATAATAGAAGAAACAGAGTGAAATATGTAACAAGTGATTGCATCAATTCATTCATCTTCAGATAAGATGGCAAAACACAAGCAGTTAAATCAGTACAAGGTTCTGTAATAGATGTTCTAAAAATCAATCATATCCTTCAAATCCAAAATCACAGACTAAATTTCAACAATTTAATAAAGAAAAGCAGCAAAGTTAACGAGGAAAATATTCCATGTAGTGTTTTATGACATCTAGACCTGCCTTGACAGCAAAAACAGTTTTATTTTAGGCGGTAGCTGAACAAACATGTGATATTGTTCAAAGAGGCTAAAGAAGCTTTTCTAGTGCCCTCACTGGTGTATTATGTAAAAAAAAGATAAGAAAAGCATTAAACATCTTTTCCTTCACTGTTGTTTAGTTCTAAAGTTTAGGGCATCATCTTTTTAAGACGGCATAGTTCAAGTCAGTTGTTCCAGAATCTTTATTTTCCCTATTCTTGGATATTATTGTGCTTTTGGAGGAAGCAAAAAGAGCAAAGATACAACAGAGATGCTCTGTACTTTGGGTGATTTGGACAGAAAGGAACAAAAGAATCTACGGAAACTTCACAGAAGAAGAGATCAGTTCTTTTTTTAATAGAATTTGTATGCTGGCATCTCTATGGGTTTCTGTTACTAATTTGTTCTTTTTATTTCATATAGGAAAATCGGGAGTTGGTGTTATCATAAAGTTAGGCCGAATTATGTATAAAATATATGGTAAAGTTCCACTAACTTTTACAGGCAGTAAGGTCCATGGGCATTTCTTTATATCTTACTAAAGTAAGTTTAAGAATCACTACTCTGATTATTTACCAGATACTTTCCAAGTCCAAAATGAATTAAGAAGTTATTTTCAGCTTCTAAAAGAAAATCCCAACAGGCCCCCAAGTTTTCTCTGCTAAGATAGGCTAATGATGCAGAAGTCAAATTTTAATGCAGAAGTAAAGCAAATTAATATTTAGGAGTACACACCTTCTAGTAGCATTTCAAACCGAGCAACAATGTGTTTCCCGTAAGTATATTTCTTTAAAGCATGCGCATGTGCTCTGATACGGCTAAGCAACATGGCCTGCTGACTGTCCGAACATATTTCAAAAATCTTCTGGACAACATAATTTGCAAACTGGTCCTTCATCATTATCTATGACATAAAAAAGAAACCCAGTAACTACCAAAATACAACCTTCAAACTCATATATGTTGTAGATGCAAAATAACAATAGTGCAATATATGACATATAATGTCATAGATGCAAAATAATTACAATGCTTTATATGATATTTGCTGCACTAAGACAAGCACTCTATTGGCAAGCAACATTATTGATAACAAGAAGTTTTCTAATCCAACATAAGCAAAAACCTTAAAGAAGAAAATCATAAATTGGGATCCAACTACCAGAATATGATATACAGATAGGGTAATTTTTTTTTATCTCCCTCAAGATATTTATAAACAGAAGACCTCCCTTGAGATTTGGCTTATCTCCCTCAAGATGTTTATAAACAGATGACCTCCCTTGAGATTTGGCCTAAACATATGCATGTGATTGCACTGCTTGTTAATGACCACCACTACACAGTTGACCAATTAGAAGGGAGATTTTGATGCATTGCATGATAGATTTTAAAAATTCCAGAAAAGACTGTTGATGAGCAATATAAACTCTGCATCTGCTTTTATTAGATTAAACTACAAGGGAGGTCAATTCCTATATAGATACAAGAGCAAGAATCCATGTATTGGATGATTACTAATCCAGTGAAATACAGAGTAAATTTGGCATTTGATTATGAATTCAGAATATGGGTTTTTTGTTCAATATGAAATTCATTACAAAAGGAAAGGAGAATATATATATATGTCAGTATGATCAAATTATATAGCCTCCCCACCTCTTCTAGGCATTAAAATAAGGACCTCATCATCAATATTAGTTTGTCATCATCTTGAACATTTTAAAATATGATAATGATAATAATAATAACTAGAAAGAAAAGATACAATGATGGTCTGCCTAGAAGATCTTATTTCAATTGCTAAAACGAGGAATCTCAAATATAATTGTAAGATAAAATAAAGCTCTCAAATGGAATTGCCAAATTAGTTTCTTTTGCAGAGAAACATCCCCACCAATTCAATGAATCAGTTCATTATGCAAGAGTTTTCTGAGGAAATACAGCAGCATTAAATATTGATCAATACTGATCAAGAAGATAGTATCATTTTGTTTCCTAGCTAAACAACACAAAGAAGCACTTTGTCTTCCACTGTAAATTTCAGATTTTCTGGTAAAAATGGACTTATCAGGCTTACATCACTCCTCCCCTTAAACAACACTACTGACATGTCTTGAGTTCAAATTCAACTTTCAAAATAACTTTAACAATAATGCCATATTTAAGCACACATACTTTATCAGGAAAAAGTGCTAAAAACGTGAATATACATCGGTTGAGAGAGTGAAAGGAAAAAGTTGCTTCATCATAGAGAGTTTAAGCAAAAAATGAGAAAAGCTATACTCTTTTAACAACTTCAATAGAATAAATTAACATATCCCTTTTCCATGTGCAGGTCAATGTTCCTAAGATTATGAAGTTCAATATCATGCAACACAGTAATTCCAACTTACCAATAAATTATCATTTCCCTCATTCTGCCCAACAATCTCATCAATAATTAGCGCCCGCTCAGCAGTACCCCCATACTCCAAGCATTTCTCAATGACATTTGATGCAAATTTATGCTGGCTCAGTTGTACAATATGTCCAGACAACTTGCCAATTATTTTGCTTCTTTCAAGAGAGTTTCCCCTCTCTAATACATGCTGTAAAGAATACAGAGAGTTATTAGCACTAAATGGTTACAAAAATTTTGATTGTGCAGTTAGTAAACAAAAATTACATTTTGAGGAAATAAAATTGCAAGCCTTATTACAAAGAAATATCAGCACTAAGCATCCCAGCCTGAACTTGTAAACAAGGTATCCTCATATCCATGTACTGATGAATGTTATGCATTAAAAAGATGCTTTAGTAGGGGGGAAAAAAACCAAGTTCATTGAAGAAAGAGGGCTCAGAAAGCAAAGCATTAATGGATTAGACAAAACAATGTTGTTAAAAAAAAAAAAAAAAAAAAAAAAACAATAATAGTAACAAAATAAAGAAAAAAAAGTGCCAGAGCTTCATTAAGCAGCCAACATTCATGAAAGAAGGTATTCTGCGGTGGGAAAAGATATTACAATCAAACACAAAATCAGAAATTTCAAAAAGTCTTCCATTACACCCCTGTCGAGTCTTGTTATCTGCTATTTTATTTCAATAGACCTTATGCCCAAAAGAGAGAATCTCAACCAACTGCAAGATTTTTGTGAAATTGAAGCTCATAATCTTTAACAACATTCCATACTGTATTTATTATTAAAATTATTAATACCTCTTTTAATATATGGCTAAAGCATCCACTTTAACCAAATTGAGAAATGGATAAGCACTAAACCAGCTACACAACAAAAGCTTCTGCTTATTCCTATTATATTTAAAAGAGAATACTCAAGCAAAAATTCTGAACAGTAATAGTAACCAAATATAGCATCTAAAATCCGATATCATAAAATTGCATGTGACAGCCCAAAACAAATGCCTACCTGGGTAACATAATTGCCATACTGGTCCTGAGCAAGAGTACAAACAGAATCCAAAATCTCCTCCACTATAAACTGGCATTGATACTCATCTGTGCAATGTTCTAAAATTCTCTACAAGAAACCAAAAAACAGCTTCAGCATTCCTAAAGAATAACAAAGGAATAAGGGAGGGGAAGGACAGATCCCAATTTCCAGTGATGCATTTTTTTACCTGTATAACACGGCAACCATAGGGATGCATAGAAAGTGTTGCAACTTGGCCACGAAAAGCTGAAATTATGAACCCAATTTTCTCTGTTGGGATACTCTCAATGCATTTTTGTATTACATGATTGCCATTTTGATCACGTACACATCTCATGATCTGTCCATCCAGTTCACGGACAAGCTGTGCTTTCTGTTCAAGTTCAATAACTTCAAGTGCCTACAATAGCACAGTATCAAAGTTAGCATTATTTCCGTTAGAAAGAGTTGGAGAATTGTTGGGAGAGGGGGGAAGAACAGAGAAAAACTTATGTTAGGAGAACAGTTAATTGTGCATATTAATGCACCCTTAGAATAAAAATATTAGCTTCAAATAGACTTACATATATTTTGGAATACTTTTAAGGACAGCAAACCATGGTTCACGTACAAGCATTTATGGAACTTAAAATTGTCCACGGAAATTTTCACCTTTTACATTCTGCTGAAATAGAATTGATGAAGGGGCATTAAAGCTTGGAGCAAAGCAAGCCGAGGAGTCCACTATTTTGTATAAATTCAGTTTTTTTCTGCTTTGTTCAATCACACATATAATTGTTATTTTTTTCAGTATCTTGAAAGGGTCCTATAACTAGCATGTGATTTTTTAATGACTTTGGATGGCTGGAATATAGGTGCTTCCTAGAAATCCGGTAGGTGAGCCAGCATGAAAGGTCATGGATACTCAAACTGGAATTAAAAAACGTCAATCCAGGAGAGTATGTTGGGACTGCTGAACTTTTACCCAAAGCCAAATTTCACTCACTTAGAAAATTTGTCAGAGGGGTTTTGTCAGCTCATTTTAGCAATCCACCAGCTCGCATAAGTCTAGTCTTCTATTTTGATCTTATACCTTTTTATTATGCCTGTAACATCTTAAAAGGGTCAGTAACTAGAATGTAACTTTCAATGAGTTGGAAAATTACGTTTCTTTGTCCTACATGTGATGAAGGACTGGGATTCTAGGTTACTCAAGGCTATTATTCTTTACTTTAAGGAACTATATCACCCCTTTGCAAGCAGCTTTATTTATCAGTTTTCATAAAATTTAAGAGCTGAAAGTTTTTTTCGGCTCTTAGCCCAGATATTGGCCTTTTGTTGTTTCAACTTCAATCCTGTCTATATCTTTGCTGTGATCTTCTATTTCATTAAGGAAATTCCTCTTAAACTGTCTTTCGTGTTAATTAGCTTGAAAAAAGAGGCAGCACTTTATGCTAGGTCTGATAAGTTGTGCAGTAGATTTAAACTATAGTTGCTAGATCAATTTGTAGCATTTAAAGATGAAATTGATGAGCAACATTGATCTATGCATATAGCTGGCAATAAATCAAGTAAGTGGTTGCTTAGAGTGTCACGTGGAATACAAAACTATTTTAAAAAAATATTCCAAAACTAGATATTTCAAAGTTTTGATGATTATTTCAGCCCCAACATATACGAGCTATGCAACAAAAGATATGGATAAAGCAAAATTTTAAATAGACGTTCATGAAGATTCTATCAAGATAAACTTAAATCCTAACAGAAATAAACATATATAAACAAGTCCCAGGTTGCATAGGTTCAAATAAAAAGGCATTGAAAAACACAATTTTTTTCTTTTTTAATAAGGAACTGATTGATGTAGTCAATAAAAAGGATTTACAAAAAGGTAAAGAAGCTGTCCACGAGTATGCTCTACAGTAAAGGACAAGACAACTCAAAAGAATCAAAAGACTAAATAACAACTGAATAGGACAAATAAAAGGGTCCGCAGTTGATACAGTATGTAAGAAAATTGTTGCTTCCAACTGTGAAGAATGAAAAAGAAAGCCACGTTTTGAAATTCAGAAGATACTGAAACCCATAAAAAAATACCTCAAAAACTTGGCTTTGTGCCTTAAAAAATGAGGATCCCCTCTTTTATCTTCAAAAATTCTTCTATTTCTTTCAAGCTAGAGAACCCAAAAAATAGCCATAAAAGCACAATCCCACATAACTTTAGCTCTTTAATTACCCTCAAGACTTGAGATATTTCTAATAACTTGAGATATTTCTAATAACATAGAATAACAAGAGGAATGGGCCAGCCAACGAAGATTAAAGGCAGAAATCATGTTCATCCAAAAGTGTCGAGCAACAGGTCATTTCAAATAGAAGTGGTCTACACTTTCAGACTCCTTTTTGCACATAGTGCACCAATTAGTTGAAAGTCACAATTAATAGATAGACCTGGCATCTAAAATTCTTAAATAGGAGACACGACATAAGATCATTATTATATAATACAAGAAAAGACCATCTAAAGTAATTCCCAAGGGCACGTGTTAACTTCTTAATAATCCTAGGTTCAAGATTATAATTAAAACACTAAAAGAAGTGCACATGATCCACGAAATCTACCTGTGACAAATTTCACATGTATCCAGTTATTACTATTACTTTTTGTAACTAGTAAGCTTTCAGGTCAACATTCTAAATCGATCTTGCCATTAAGGAAATAGTTTCCTTACAGTAAATGAAGTAATTTTGTGTTAAATATAATGGAACATCATACAAAATGAAAGAAAAGAAATTAGGCAGATCAACTTTGTACCATATTAAAGAAAAGAAAAGCTGAAAACTTATGGCAGAGCATAAGTAGCGAAGACAGATATCCAACAAACAGCTAAACAAATGTAAGTACTCATAATATATATTAGTATTGAAGAAAACACAAGTGAACCACAATAATCCCACACACCTTTTGGATTACACGACAGCCATACATCTGTAGACTTAAATGCAAAATCTGCCCTACAAGTTGATTTGCAAGTTCCTTTCGCTGCTGAGGGCTTCCATACTCAAAGAACTGCAAACACACAAAGAAGAGAGAAATTAAACCACCAGGACCACCCATAAAGAAGAATATTTACAAAATTTGGCATATATTTTGAAAACACACCTTCTGGATAACATAATTACCGAAAACATCAGTCATCAGTTTGGAAGCATGTGGAAGAACTTCTTTAAATACAGCTGACTTCTCTTCACCACTACAACTCTCCAACTTCTGCTGAATAAATCGACTCCCATGTTGGTCAGCACTGGAATTGGAGATGCTTGGTGACTTAACTATTTAGTGTAAAATAATAATAATAATTTGCAAAGAAAACTACAAGCAGTAAAACTTGCCTAAATTCAACAATATTCCCTGCAATATCAGACAGCTCAAATCTTCGGCCTTTGCCAGATTTCAGCTCTTCAAGAAAATTATAGATTTTGGGATCATTAAAATTCTCATATCCCCTTTGACCATGCCAACCAGAATGTCTACCAGAACCAGCCAGAAGTCTCATTTCATTTCTCCCACCAGGAAATCTAGTCCCCACTAAAGGGGATCCAGGCAAAACTGGACTAGCAATTGGTGAAGATGGGTACTGCACTGAAATGCCTATATGTGGTGGATTCCCCAAATAATGAGGACTCATCACCCCTTTACCTGAGTTTGGATTGCTCGATCCTGCACTTCTCTGATGTTGGAATTTCTGGTCATCAGAAGCAGCCAAGTCAGACCCTTTCTGCAAATCGTGAGCAACATTTTGGTTCCCAAAAACACCACTTCTAGAAGCTAATGGGTCAAATTGACCAGAAACATTATATGCCTCCCCAAAAGGTTGTTGAAAGTATTGCAAATGAAAGGGATCAGCATAAGATGGTTGCAGTGGAAATCCAACCTGTCCATAAAACTTGTTAAGATGTTGTGCATCAGATCCATGAACAAAGCCTGCTCCAGCTGAAACCCCAGAAGGTTGAGTACTAAAGTTGGGACCAGCAGCACCATCTAAAACAAAAGGAACAGCACCATGGGGAGGATATCCAGCAATAAATGGAGGGACAACAGAGGAATTAACATAACCACCTAGACCATATTGAGGAGCATAAAAACCCGGGGCTTGAACATTAGGGCAAAATGGATTTGATGAAGTCATGTAAGCTGCTGCAGTAGCATACAGTGGAGGTGTGAACCCAGATGACTGAAGTACCGGCTGTACCACTGTTGCAAATTTAGAAGGGCCATGACGAAACTGATCCATGCCAACGTATGAGCCAATAACTCCTTGAGAACCTAATTGAGACTTAGAACTTTGAACTTGAGATGAACTGCTCTCTTGTTGGTATGCTTGGAGTTGATCTTGAATTTTTTGATTCCCTGAATTTTGCAGGCTCACATTTAGATCCTTCATATGAGATGCAAGAACAGTGACATCAGCATTACTGACACTGTGGACTGACACTTCATCCTTTAACCAAACATCTGTATCATTCAAAGTTCCTTCATTACTACGTGATGTGAAAGGTAGGGTTACTGTATTATTGCTAGATGATGAGCTCGAGATATGGGCAGCTGACAGATCAGCTTTTGATGCTACCACTGTACTATCAGCATCAATAGCTGATCTAACAGCATTTGACGAGCTAACAGTGAGATCTTGCAAGGTACTGGAATCAGAATCATGGTCAACTGCTTCTTCTGTCATTCCATAGCCCAAAGAATGAGACTGATTATATACATGTGATGAAGTACGAGGAAAGTCTTCCTGTAAACGTGAAAGCATAAATATTTGTTCACAGTCATGCTATTAAGTGCATAAAGCCAGAAGTAATTTTGATAACTTTCAATCAACTTCAGAACTCTAATCACCAAGAAAATTCTGAATTTTACAGTCTGGTATATGAAAGATTTATCAAGGGCTTGAGAAGTTCGAAACTTTAACATCCAAACAACAAAAATGAAAATTGCAGAATATATCCAAGCAGAATCCTTTCCAGGACAAAATAAGAATAGCAAAAATCAACTTCAGAGTAATGGGTGTGTTTTAATTCATAAAATGGACACCGAGATAATTACCTGCATTATATCCACCAAAATTTTGTTTTGGCCAGCCAATTGAGCTGCATCCTTCCCAGACCAGAGCCCATTTGTCCTGCCAGCCAGATCATCAACTGAATGTTGGGGCGAGCGATCATCCTCAGACTCTTCCTTATGTGTAGAAAGGGAAACTTGAGACAAATGCAAGGAACTATTAGCAACATCATTTACAGAACTTGAACCCCAATTATTTCCAAATCTATTCATGTGGTGAGCAAGATGTCTAGGAAGCCTGGGGTTCAGGTTGACATTGGATCGGTAATATGTTAAATATGCTGGATCAGTTTGTAAGTACTCCTCAGACACAAAGTTCCCAATAGCGCCATCTAAGTTAGCCAAGCTCACACTCAAGCCAGAGTTCTGCTGGGATATAATGTTATCTATGGCCACAAAGGAACCCTCCATGTTTGGAGGCGCACTTCCACTTCTATCAGGCACAGCATTTCTCCCACCGCCACGAAAATTATGACCCTTTCGAAGCAATCCTAATTCTTCTACTGCCATATTGGCCGATGATGGTGCAAATGTAGCAGCATTCTTAGGGGCAGGCCATTTTGAACTTGTTTCCGAGATTCTAATCGGACTCTCTGTAGCCATACTACAAGAAGATTTTATTCCTTCTATTCCAATCGTAAACCACCAGAGATCTCACATATCCCCCTGAAAAGAACGATTTATTTTCACTTAATATGAGAGAAAATTCACTAACATATCGATGGATGAAAAATTAACAGAAGTTAGTATTTTTGCATGATACAAGAATAAAAAATATACCAAAAGAGGGAGGCAGAAAGATAGAGATAATATCAACAGAAAAGAAAACAGACTTATAGCAGCAGAACATAACCCTAAAAGAAAGCATCAATGTAGTACTTTGACTTTAATAACGAGTACTTAAACAGAAATTCATTAACCACAAGTGATTATTTCAACAAAACTAACAAAATGACAGGAATGGAAGAAGCATGTAGCACAGGTCATATAAACCCATCAAACCTATTTCATATTAGCAATAACTATAAAAACATGCAGAAAGAAGCTCGAAAACACAAGTTCAAGTGAATAGCCAATCAAGATAGTGCCAAGCATATATTCACAACAAATTCAAAGAATCACCAGAATAACACCTAAGACTTGGCAATCATTGTAGCAAGTAGAATAAGTTTAAGACATATGTATGAAAGAATACAACTTCGGAAACCAAGGAAAACAAACATTTCCACTTAACTAGCCGAATTGTAAAAATTAAACTAATAAAAAGAAAAACTTCTGTTTTCCTCAATTTTCTCAGGAACCAAACAAAAGGGTAAGTCAAAGGCAGAATCAAACACAAACATAGACAAGCCTTTTCAACTCAGAATCAATTCATTCTAAAAGAACAAGAAATCCCGGCAAAAGGGAAAGTCGAAAAGAATAATCAAACACAATCACATCATTCAAAAAGAACAAGGTTACACATATTCTTCCCATTAATACAAACACAACCCACGTGAAGAAACTACAAGAACAGACAACTGAAACCAGCAGAAACGAAAAAACAAACAGGAACCCACATAGGATTCATGCTGCAAACAGTGAAACAAACACAAAGGTTGAAAATTTACAGCTTGTACTTACCCAAAAAGTTAAGAAGGAAAGGGATTCACTGTTGAAAACCCTAGAGTGTTTGTATTGTAGGAATAAACTTGAGTTTAGCCAAGTTTAGTTAAGTTTGACTTTAAAATGACATTTTTGGCTTGCTTATTAGAGTAGCTATAAGGGAAAAAAAAATGTAAAATTTCCAAAGTTTGGAGTTGATTTTAGTTCATTTTTTGTTTTTTTGATTTTGTGTGTCGTGTCGTGGGTTTAGTTTTGGTTTTGGTTTTTTTAGTAATGGAAAATGACAAACTAAGAAATTGCCAAAATAGGATTCATGTACAAACTTAAGAAAATAACAACAAAGGACATGAATATAGACAGGTCAATTTTTCTTTCTTTTTCTTTTGGATAATTTTAATTTTGATGGTTCTTTAAACTTTAGTCAAATTGATTTATTTGGTATTATTTTAAAAAATTATTGATAAGGATAGTAACTTTGTTTACGTAGCATTATGGTTCATATAATTTAATTTAAAATAATATTTTAATGATGTTTTTTATAGTAAAAAAGTTAAATTCTTTCAAATTATAAAAAATCAAATATAGTAATTTGAAATTTAAAATAATATTTTAGTGATTTTTTAATAAAAATTAGGGTTCGTTTGGTTCATTATTCTGATACTTTTTAGAATAATATTTTGAAAAAAAAATTAAATTGGACGGGTATTACGATGTATGATTTAAAAATTAACAAAAATACCCTGTATGTTTGTTTATTTCTAAACGCCCCTATAATAAAATATTAAAAGTTAACAAAAACACTTCCAAGCCACCCATTAGATACGAACAGCCAGCCACCACCGCCGAAGGGTTGTTAAGATGTTTTTGCAATTTCTAAAAAAAATATGTAAAGGTGTTTAATTAAATTAACAAATTTAGGGAGATTAAAAGAAATTAAATAATATAAAATAATATTTTGATAATAAATCAATTTTATTATTAAAATACTAATAATAATATTCTCAAGAGTGTAACAAAGGAAGCCTAAAGATTCTTTTCAAATTATTAAAAAAAAAAATCAAATAATTTGAAGATGCTAGTTTTTAGGAGTAAATAAGAGAAAAAAAAAAGTCAAAATATTTGAATTAAAGGTGTTTCGAAGTGCTTTTATGACTTTGAAATAATTAAAATGTTATTTTGTATTTTTGTTTATTTTATAGTTTGTGATTGAAGAGGTTGGGTAAATTCATTTTCATCCCGAAGAATCTAAAAGTAACAATGTGGTCCCTAAGACCGACGTAAGACTTTAATTCCCGTTTGCCGATGGCTGTAAGGATTTCTTTAATGCAAACAAAACTTTAAACTTTATTAATCCGAATGCAGGTATTTAATCAAAAGAGTAAAGACCTATTAAAAGCTTCGTTTGCTTGATTTTTCTTGATTTTCTGAAATCGGAGACGGGAAAGTTAGGGATACGAAATCTGTGATAAAGCTTTTTGAAGATAGTGGGTCGTGTGTGTTTCAGCTTTAAAATGGTTGCCTCCCTCAGGCATTCTGCACTTTTCATAAGTTTTTGATTGGTGCATCATCTCATTCTAACGTTGGTCCTTCTACTTCTAGAGCTCTCATGGATTCCTCAATTTTCCATGCTTTACAGGTGCTTTATTGTTTTAATTTACTTTTTCTTCCTTTTACTCTGAATATTGATGATTGCTATTTCATGATAAGGCAATATAAGTTGTTGAAGAATTAGACTTAATAGACGCCCAATAATTTTTAAAGTTTGGAGTTAGACTACTGCACATTGAGTGAGCTTCCCCCCGAACCCTGTATCAAGCTTAAAACTATTTTATGAAGTGCTAAGATTCTGAAATTGTACATGTAGATTAGGTTGTTTTACAGGGGAATAAAACCCAGCAAAAATGACCCTTTTTGCAATATAGAAAAGTGTATGCTTGTTGATATTACTCGATTCTGATTCAAGCTATTAGATTTTTGAAAGCTGAGCACAGTGAGAACCACTCCATGTTTTATGATTGATTTATGTGTATATGTGTCTATATATATATTATTCTTTTTGATAGAAGGGGTGATCGTTATGTTACAGGAGCGGTTGTTTGCAAGTCATGCCGTTGCTAGCGTTGGTTCAGTGGCTTTAGCCACCGCTGTGTCTTACCCCCTTGACACTATTAAATTACTTATTCAGGTAAGTTTGTTTGTTATTTCTATGAAATCAAAATCTACAAGTATGTTACTTTTTTCTGTTGTTGAAAGTAGGTTGGTTCAAGCTCCAGCAAACAATTAACAGCAACTCAGGCTTTGCATAGACTGCAAACTCTATCAGGATATTCTGGTAACTCCCTTATTTGTTATTTATTTTTGTTTGCTTTTGCTGCATATATGAAGAGAAAAGAAGCCAAGTGAAACTGATTTTATTGTTTATTAGGTATTTCTATAGCTTTTCAGTGATTTTTGGAACCATAGTGTTTTGTTAAAAAATTATTCTTACTTGGGTAATATATCTATTGCATTGAAAGGGTTGATGCTGTAAGTTTTTCATTTGTTTAGATTTTCATGGTGGGAGACTAAGTGCTTATGTGGATTTAATTCCTTTTAGAGGAAAGAAATCTGAAAAGAAAAACTTTGAATTGAACCAAAGACAGTTAGAGGCCTGAAAGTGAGTTATAATTGCTATAATCATGTTGCTGCAGCCTCTATTCACTCTTGCTTTCAGATGAATTCTATATCTGTGCATTTGTAAGATTTTTTCATCTTAATTTATAAAGATTTCTCTAATTCCCAATATGTAGTTTTGAAATATTAAATAATATCTTCTTCAATAATAAACAATGTAGGTTTGTACAGTGGTTTTGGGTGGTTGACTTTCGGAAGAATTTTTGGTGTGGGAACCCGCTTTGGAGTCTATGAAATTTTGACTGCATTTTACAAAGGTATTTTTTTTTTTTATTTCGTTGCCATTATTTCTTTTTAATGGATATTTGTTATAAAATTTGTCTCTATGCTTAAGATTACATGTATATTGTGTGCCCCTCATCATGGTTGAAAATTGACAAGCATAAGAACCTTATAGATTTTATTGTTATAGACTATCATAGTTGGGTGCTGTCTCATTAAGATAAATGAAATCATGTTAGCTTGTGAATTTTCTCATCTTCCTTCCAAGATTGTACTATTACATAGAATATGGCAACAGAAGGGAGGGAATGAAGAGGTCTTTGAAAACTTTTTGCTAGTTTTAAACATATAATGCATTGTAAGTTTGATCTTAAGAATAAACAATTATATAAGCAATAAAGAGATCAGGGATACAGAAAACAAACATAATGGCTTTTACATTTTTTGACAACTTTAGCAAATGTCCATGCCTTGGAAGTCAAATATTCATTCATATGTCTGTTGTGATTGCCATAACTCTTTAGGATACTTGAGCTTTGGACCAAAGTGTTCACTTGGAGCTCTATGGCAGGGCATAATGCAAATTGAAGTTGTCCCTGGAGGATACATTGGAAAAATATATTAAAAGATGGATTTAGAAGGCTTTAGAAGATATTGATGGTAGACTATACCGTGCCTTGCTAGTAGTGTTGAAATAGTGAATGAAACTGTTGCCAATATATTACTCATGTATAAAGAATATAAAAGTTTCATTGACACTGGTACGACCCATACTATAGTGTTTTAGTTTAAATAACAACCCATTTGTTCCAGCTAAAGCAGTTAAAACGGTGCTGGAAAATGTTTTAAATGTGTTATGATTTAGCTTGCACCTAAGTTTAATTCTGTGGGCTACATACTTTCCCTGAAAGTTAACAAGCTAGTTTTGGTTCTTGAAAATTAATTTATTTTGGATAATTTAAAATGAATTTTGTATTCATTACATTGAGATTTTGTAAACTGGAGTTTTGTTGTAATGATTGCATTACTTAGAGATAAAAGGCAATGCATTTATTGATGGAATCAAGTAAAAGGCAGTTGATGCTCTAAGAAATTTTGTTTTCATTTTATGCTGCAAGGACAATAATTAACTTAATTACCTTGTATTGGCTGTACTTTTTTTATTGGATTGGTAACATAAAGGTATGGATTACTGTAAAAAAGCAAATGATGGATTAGATATATAGACTATCATGGATCTGTGTAGAAACAATAAACTAAAAAAGAAAGATCACCACACCTTGAACCACCCTAAAAACATAATCAGAGCTATTAAGTTAGTTATTAGTGTCTATTTTGGTATCAGAATCAAGACCTCTAACCAAGTTCAGCGTTAGCTGACTTTTGAAATTGGTTCACCATATTTTCTAGTATAAGTAGTTCTCTTCCATAGAGTACAGGACTAGATTGCTCAAGCAACTACTTTTCGTTGAGAACTTGTATGAACATCTAGGTGACTATTGTCTCTTGCTCCTGGAGAGCTAACAGTCGTTTACTAAACTTAAGAGTCTTCCTTTAGGTTTATTGAAGTATCTTTTCTTGGTAAATTTAGCAACACTTAATTTCAAGGAGACCTCTACCCCTAACACTCAAGTGGAAGCCCACTATGAGTATGATCGACCTAAAAATGAGTGTGATTACCTGCTGTTCTTTGTTTATTACCAGTAACACAACGGGCCCACTCAGAATTAGCAGATATTCCGGCATTTCTTCCTGTAATAGTTAAAATTGAATTTGGGTTTGGGCTTCACGCTATTCTATAGCTTTCAACCCATTATGTGTTGGTAAAAATTGGTTTTGTGGCAGATGGTCGAGAAGACAATTATGTTTATGTCTCTGAAGCCCTAATGGCTGGAATGGCAGCTGGAGCTGCAGAATCCCTCATAAGCTCTCCATTTGAACTTATGAAAGTTAGGGCGCAAGTGTCCTCTGCCTCTCGAGTTCAAAGCTCTTCATCTGTTGCAGAAAATAGAACTGTTGCACTTTTTACGGGAAGATTACTTCATGGACATACTCCTGATTTGAAGGCACTGAACCACTCTGCTGGCCTTTTGTCTATATTGACTACCAAGCATCCGAATTTGATTGGGGCCTTACAAGAATACCCTTGGATGATGACTGGATCTGGGAGGCCGCCGTCAGTATGTAATGTCAGGAGACCATCTGACATTGTCTCTTTGGAAGGATGGGGTGCATTTTGGAGAGGTCTAAGGCCTGGAGTTGTTCGAGATTCTGTTTTTGGTGGCATATTCTTTTCTAGTTGGCAATTCCTGCACCAAGCAATGCTTGACTGGAAAGCTGTTGGGATGCATCCCGAACCCAGGTTTCAAAATATATCATTAGTTGGCTCTGTTAGGAGATTCTAACTGCAGAATCTTCCCTTTTTCTGTTTTTTGATTCTTTTTTTTTTTATATTATTGTCATCATATAAATACTCTTATTCAGTTCAGTTTAGTTGGGAACAAAGTTCCATTAGCAAATCTTTAGCAAGATATTTTTGGTGAGGCTTTGGATTTTAAGCAATTTTAAGGCGTTTACTTCTTCTTAATAAGTATTAACTTGCATGCCCTTTACTTTAGGGTGATTCTTTGGCATAGTTTCGTTCAAATTTATCATTGGTTTTTGGGTGTTCTGTTGGTAAATAATAAAAACATCCTTGGAGCATGAGATTCAGCCCCTATAAAAATTCATCTGGTTTTGCTGCTGGATGTCCTTCTTCTTTTGGTCGTGAATTTCTTTTGTAACTGTTTGTGCTGGTTCCTGGAAGAAATTTCATATATGAGCTGCACTTCATGTCTGCTAGCATAGTGAGACTTGCTGGTGTTGGGGAAGTTTGACTGAGCCACTTTCACTGTGTCTATATGTTAGATTAATTATTGTGTTGATATAAAACACTTGCATAGCATTATGAAAACTGAATCAATCTTGTGATTTCAGTTATTATCTGATGCTTTAATTAATTATGGTAGCTTTAAAAGGTCATGATTGTAGCTCTTTTTTCCTTTTTACTCCCTAATTTTGAAGTGCCCTTGCTTTCCCTTAGGTCTGATGAAGAAATTGGTCCTCTTTCTCCTTTAGCTGTTAGTCTCGCTGCTGGATTTTCTGGTACAGTTGCTGCTGCTGCATCTCATGGTTTTGACACTGCAAAATGCCGATCACAGTGTATTGTGGTGCCCAAGGTATGTTACTTGTCGCAGGCAGAATGTCTTTGTCCTAAACTTGTTTATTTACTACTGGAAATTTTTTTCCTTCCACATAGTATTATCCTTTTGGCTGAACATTTATTATTATATCTCACTGCTTATGATTGCATGAGCACTTAATGAACCCACTGCATGAAATTATCAGTAAATGTTTCTGCGTTTAGAAATTAGTATCGGCAGGAATGCACTGTTCTTTCATGTGATTCATGCATCCTCTTAGTGAGAAGAGTTGTGTCGGTAGACTGTGTTACTTGTGTAAGATGGTTCTGGGTCAGCATTGCTTTTCTTCCTGGTGTATATTTGTTGGATTTAATGTTCGTACGAATATGGTTTAACATTTAATTGATTTGTTCTAAATTATTTATTTGGATCTAAATTTGTTCACTTAAAATTTTAGTGCTTGTATAGCTTTCAAGAATGGAAAAATGAAGTTGAAATAGGTAAAAGATTCATCTTGGTTCCAGGTGCATTTAATGTTATAATGATATTGTTTGATGGCAGTATATTTCCATGGAGAGGAAGATGCTAAAATGGAACCGACCCGGGAAGAGATTTGAGAGATATACAGGGATCCATCCTTCAGATAGGAATTTGTTATTGCGGGGCATTTGGTTCCGGATGGCACGGAGTGGGCTTGCATCATTTGTGATTGTGGGTAGTTATTTCTTAGCCCTTGATCATCTCATACCTAGTTGAATAACTTGGCAGAGGAGGTTTGTGACAGCCATTTTATTCATTTCTATGCGGGGTGGCTCAGGGTTCATTTCCGGTAGCAAGACAAACTGACTGTAATAGGGCTTCAGTCTCTTTAAGAATTAAATGAAGTAGAAAAGGTCGAAAACTAACTCAAAAGTCATACAATTTTTTTGGATGTATGTAACTCAAGATAAAGTTTTGTAATAATAATCTATCAGGATCTGTTTTTCAATTTCTGTGTCATGGGATTAATAATGAATGAAAGCAAACGTAATTTGTGAACCTTTCTTGTTTGGAGAATTACCAGATATTTGGATGTCAAACCTCATGGGCGTCACTTGATAAACCCTATTTACAATATTAGGGTTTTGCCAAACTCAAAGGGAACTAAAATATTTCGATGAGCAAATGACATGTTCTCATCCAACGATTAGCAAAATTCAAGATTCCACCGTTTCATTTATTTTAGATTCTCACCTTAAAGTAATAGAAAATTGTTTAATGAAACGTCGGATAAGGTTTTCATTTTGCACTTCTCAACCAAATTAAAGTAATAGAAAATTGTTTAATGAAACGGTCGGATAAGGTTTTCATTTTGCACTTCCCAACCAAATTGCCTTGAATATTTTTTTCTCTGAACTAGCCTCATTGGGCTCACCTGTCAGCCTATTGTCGACCGATTTGCGACGAATCCAACTGGATTCTTTGTCAAAACCGATGGAATTCATCACCTCAAGTTCGATTGCATAGCCTTCTTGCCTCATTGATTGCATTTTTAGCCGAATTTGACCTTTTTTCGCAAATTTTCCCAACCACGAGCGTTCCCATCTCCAGTCCGATTTGGTCGAAATCTAGCATTGTTGGCCTTCCCCATCACCACCACAAGAACCCCCGACGTCCCACCATCAAAACCCCACCCTTTTCCCCCTAACTACACACGCCATTCGCCAGCCACAGCAGCAGCGTTATACGACTGTTCTTTGCCGGATTTGGGCGGCGACAACCCCTCCCACCACCACCCTTGATTCATCGGCTTCTCCTCTACAAAATCCCCATCCCTTTATGACCACGGCAGCCCACTGTTCACTATCCGCCACTCAACCTAGGGTTTTTGCGTTTTGTTGAAATTGGTTGTTAATGGTTGGATTTTTGATGAAATTGAAGCTTGAGTTTTGGTTGATTGATTATTTGGAGTGTTTTTGCTTTTGATTATAGTTGGAGAATCCAACCAATCGCCACTGATCACCCTCCTAACTTCACTTGCCCACCACCTGTCTATTGTTTTGCCTCAACCAACCAAGACACCCACTTCACCAAACGCACGCCACAGCCAACGCGTGCCTGCCTTTTACGCACAGTAGTAGGCAACCCCCCATTTTCTGTGTTGATGTCAATGGCGGTTTGTTGGTTGACCACGGTGGTAGATTTTGTTGATTTTTGTTTTCCATTTATTTTAATTTTTTATAGATTAAAAAGGGTAGATTTTAAAAAAAAAAAAAAAAAAAAAAAAAGGCCGGATGGTGATGGTGGCTAGGTGGCGGTGGCAACAATGGCTGGGTGGCAGTAATGGCAGTAGTGGTGGTGGTGGTGGTGGTAGTGGCTGTGGTTGTGGTTGTGGTTGTGGCTGAGTGGTTGGAGATGGAGATGCACCGAAGGTTGAAGAAAAGAGTGTTATTGAAATAAATTTGAAATTAAGATGATTATTTTTCTAATTTTACTAATTTAGGGGTTAAAAAGTAATTATAATTTATTTATTAAGGATAGTATGATTACAGTACCCTCTATATCTATGTTAGAACTAAAAATCGATACAGTATGTTAAGATAAGAATCTAGGATAAATAAAACCGTCGAAAACTTGCCATTCCGCCAACCTTTGGGTGGGAACATGTCATTTACTCTGTTTGATTGACAAAATTGGAAATGAAATGAACCAACCAGGGGATGTCATAAACCCAAACCTAACCAAAACAAATTAAATCGGTTCCATTTCTCAGTTTAGACAGATACGCATAAAAGAGAAGAAAAAATGTGTTCTTGATTATATCAATAATTTCTTAAAGGATTAAAGGTTATGTATTAATTATATGAAGCATTATTTTAAAATAAAATAAAGCTTAAAAGACCAATAAATTATACACAAAATTGCAGGAAATTAAAAGTTTGAGCTTTTAACTTCCAAATACAGGATCAAAATAGTGCAGAAAAAATAATTTAGAGAAAGAGAGAATATTGGATATTTTTAACTGATTAAATAAGTAGCAGAAACTCACCTATTTATAGGTGATTACATACTCAACAGATCATCAACAAGAACTTAAAAAAACTCCTATATATATGGCACTACTCCATAACTTATGAAAATGCAGTAATAACTCCCTAATAATCTGCAGTTACAGACTTGTTTAACTATGACTCAGCAACTTATTCAACTTTGACTCAGCAGAAAAGAAAACACAGAGTGCTGAATATAAAAAACAGAGTTTGAGTTTAAATTAAATTCCAACAGCCTCCTTTAAACACAAACTCTCAGAGTTACACATCCCCATCATCTTCTTCAATTTGTAAAAGACCTCAGTTTTCAGTGACTTTGTGAAAATGTCGGCAATCTGATCTTCGGACTTGCAAAACTCCATTACTATTTCTTTTCTTTTGACAAGTTCATGTATGTAGTGAAATTTGATATCTATGTGCTTACTTCTCCTGTGAAACACTGGATCTTTAGTTAGAGAAATAGCTGACTTGTTATCACAGAAAATCTTCGTAGGAGTTAATTGTTCTTGATTCAGCTCATCCAATATCCTTCGTAACCAAACAGACTGACATGCAGTGGAGGTCGCTGCCACGTACTCTGCTTCAGCAGTAGAAAGTGCAATAACATGTTTCTTTGATGACCAAGAAATTACTCATGAGCCCATGTGAAACACAAAACCAGAAGTACTTCTTCTATCTTCAACATCACCTGCCTAATCATTATCGGTATACCCAACAAGATTATAGTCATTAGCATATTTATTAAATATACCATCACTTTGAGTACCTTTTATGTATCGCAAAATTCGTTTTGCAGCTTGTAAATGAACTTGGCTATTTGTCTCCATATACCGACTAATAATACCAACTCCAAATGCGATATCGGGTCTAGTAGAAGTCAAATAACGTAGACTACCTACTAAACTCCAAAAATAAGTTGGATTGACAAGTTCGCCATTGCCATGTTTGTTCAAATGCAGCCTTGCTTCCATAGGAGTCTTGATAGGATTACATGATTCCATCTTGAACCTCTTTAGAATATCTGCTGCATATTTCTTCTGTGAGATGAATATCCCATCATTAATTTGCATAACTTGAAGACCAAGAAAATAAGACATAAGCCCCAGATCAGTCATTTCAAACAAATCATCCACTTACAAACACACAATAAGCATACTTCCATGTGAGTTGGATTTGATGTAAAGTGTAGGTTCATAAGGACACTTAAGAAAGCCATTTTCTTGGAAATATGAGTCGATACGAGTGTACCAAGCCCTCAGCACCTATTTTAATCCATATAACGCTTTCTTTAGCCTAAGAATCTTATCTTCATGACCTTGCTTCGCATAACCAACAGGTTGATCTACAAAGACTTCTTCTTCAAGCTGTCCGTTAAGAAACGCTGACTTCACCTCCATTTGATGTATTTGCCATTTCTTCTGGGCAGCTAAGGCAATCACCATGTGAATGGTATCAAGTCAAGCTACGGGTGCAAAAACTTCATAATAATCAGTACCTAGCTTTTGTTTGTATCCTTTCACAACCAACCTAGCCTTCAACCGATCCACTTGACCATCTGGTTTATACTTGATCTTGTACACCCACTTGACGCCAATCGATTTCTTTCCCTTAGGAAATGAAGTTAGCTCCCAAGTGTCATTCTTCTCTATTGAATGAATTTCTTCATCCATAGCTTGAATCCATCCATCATCTTGTGCTGCTTCTTCAAACGTAAGAGGACAACAATCTGCAAACAATGCAAAATTTACAAGTTCCTCATCAGAGACATCATTATCATTGGTTATAACATAATCCTGTAAACGTGCTGGCATAACACGTCAATGTGATGAACTACGAACTACTGCATCATGACTCGAAGAATTATAGCATATTGTATTGCTTGAATCCTGCAATGCCATTTCGGCTTGTGTATCACCAACTGATTCTTCATTCCAAGTTATCCCCAGCTGTTTTTTCTCTTCAGTTGTCCAATCCCAGGCTTCGGCTTCACCGAATTCTACATCCTTGCTCACAGTGACTTCACATGTTTTTGGATTAAACAATTTGTAACCTTTAGTTCTATCACTATAACCAATGAAAATGCATTTTTCACTTTTACCATCAAACTTTTTTCTCTTCTCAGCTGGTACATGGGCATAAGCAACACTCCCAAATACTCGAAGAAGTTCAACATTTGGTTTATGATTGCCATGCCTCCTCAGGTGTCTTATCAAGAACACTTTTTGTAGGACACCTTCAAAATATAAACAGCACAAGACATAGCTTCTGCCCAAAACACTTTGGGTAAATTTTTTCTTTTTAACATGCTACGTGCCATTTCAACAATTGTTCAATTCTTCCTCTCAGAAATCCCATTCTGTTGAGGTGAATAGGTCGCTGTAAGCTGATGTTTAATTCCATGATTTTTGCAAAAATTAGAAAATTCATTAGAGGTGTACTCTCCTCCTTTATCTGTACGTAGCTTCTTCAAACTACAACCACTGCATAGGCCTTGAAGTCTTAGAATATTTCAAACGTTTCAGACTTCTGCTTCAAGAAATAGACCCAAGTTTTCCTGCTGTAATCATCAATGAAAGTAAGAAAATACCTATTACCTCCATGTGATACCGTCTCCATAGGTCCGCAAATATTTGAATGCACAAGCTCTAACTGCTACACTGCTCTTCGTGACTTTCCCACTGGAAAAGAATCTATATGTTGCTTGCCAAGGATACAACCTTCACACAATTGGTTAAAATTTTCCAACAAAGGTAGCCCAGTAACCATTTTTTTCTTGCCAATACCCTTAAACCGTTAAAGTTCAGATGACCGAAACGGAAATGCCAAAGCCAATTTGTATCCTTAGCAATAGCATTAAATGAACAAATCATTTTAGTTTGTAAAGGTAAGGGAAACATGCGATTTTTAGTCATCTTAACCTTAGCAACAAGTTCTTTTCTTTGGTTCTCAATAGTACAAATTAGGGGTGTTCGGTTCCGAGTACTCTGCATTTTTTGAAGGAACCGGAACCGATGATTCCTTGAAATTTGGAACCAGAATCAGAACTGACGGTTCCAGTTGCTACGTACCCAGAACCTGTAACAACGGTTCCAATTCCGGTTCTGGGTACCCTGTAATATTACATGACCCCCCAAAAGTTTTTAAAATGGCAAAAAAACTCTTAAAAACTTACAAATACCCCCCCACCTGGAACTTGTTAACAAAAATAAAATTACAAATTATAAATTTAAAATTACAAACTCCATTACTTTGTAAAGGTAGATTCTCAAAAATCAAACAAACTTACTTTAAATGTTATGAAATATAAATAAATGTATTCACATTACTTTTTCTACAAAAGTTTTTATTAACCCCCGTAATCTTTAATTTTATTTTATATTAGTCTTGGTTCCTGGTTCCGGTTCCTAACTATAAGAACCGGAATCGAAACCGCACAGTAACGGTTCCAAAAATTTGGAACCAGAACCTACCTGTTCACGGTTGGTTCTGGGTAGGAACCAGAACCAAACCCCGGGCACCTGCTGGTTCCGGTTCCAACTGGTTCTTTTGAACACCCCTAGTACAAATCCCTTTGTCAATGATGATTTTAAGTCCATTTTTAGAGAGTTGTCCCATACTCAATAAGTTCCAATGTAAGTTAGGAACATAAAAAACATAAGAGATATGTTCATGTGAACCATCTTTCAAGCGTATAAGAACTTTACCTTTGCCCATGATTGGAACTTTAGCCTCGTTTCCAAAGTTTACTTCACCACATGCCGGCTCGTCTAAACAGGAAAATAGCTCCTTATTTCCACACATGTGGTTGCTGCACCCGGTGTCCAAATACCACTCGTCAAGATGTTCTTCTTCGGAAACACTGCAAGCTAACAACAAAGTTTCTTCCTTTTGTTCCTCATCTTCAGCATGGTTAGCATAGTTTTCAGGTTCAGAAGTTTTTTTTTGACAATTTAACTCTACACTGTGATCGATAATGTCCATACTTCTTACATCGAAAACACTTAATTTTGGATTTATCATACCTTCCTTTTCCAGAATTTTGCTTATCATTGGCTATGCTTTTGTCACCTTTGAAGCCTTTTGCTTTACCTTGACCGATACTTTTCCACCGTTGGAACTACCTGTTTCAGACAAAATCACCTTGGTTTGAAAGGCTTGATCTACAGATATTGCACTCCTTTGATTCATTCTATGTTCATGGGAACATAATGAACCCATCAAAACTTCCATTGTCATGGTTGAAAGATCCCTTCCTTCTTCAATTGCAGCAACAACATAATCAAAACGTCATGATCTTTTCAATAACACGTAATTCATCCAATCTTTCACTGTTAGCCCGTAATTGATTGACAACAGATTGAACTAGGGAAAAATATTCAAATATAGTTTCAGAAACATTCAGAGAGAGATTTGAATTCTCCTCGTAAAGTTTGCAACCTTACACTTTTCACCTTCTCACCACCTTTGAAGGACTTATGCAACAAATCCCACGCCTCCTTAGTCGTAGTTGCAATCAAGATTTTTTCAAAGACAACCTTGTCCACAGCTTGGTAGAGAAAAAATAAGGCCTTCTTGTCCTATCTATTTTCTCTCGAACTTTCTTTTTGGGCTTGAGTTAGAGTTGCAGTTGCATTTTGATCTACTGGCTCTGCGTATGCAAGTTCAATGATCTCGGACCGCTCCTGAAAGCCAAACAACGCCTTCATCTGGATGCACCATTGATAAAAAAAAATTCCGCTAAACCTCGGAAGTTGAGGTTGAATTGATCCATTCATTGTTGTAACTTGCTTACAAGCAATCTAAGAAACACAACTTAGAACAACAAGAAACCTGGATAACCTGGATTAGCTGGCTCTGATACCAATTGCAGGAAATTAAAAGTTTGAGCTTTTAACTTCCAAATACATGATTAAAATAGTGCAGAAAAAATAATGTAGAGAAAGAGAGAATATTTGATATTTTTAACTGATTAAATAAATAGCAGAAACTCACCTATTTATAGGTGATTACAGACTCAACATATCATCAACAAGAACTTAAAAAACTCCTATATATATGGCACTACTCCATGACTTACGAAAATGCAGTAATAACTCCCTAATAATCTGCAGCATAGTTACAGACTTGTTCAACTTTGACTCAGTAGAAAAGAAAAAACAGAGTGCTGAATATAAAAAACAGAGTTTGAGTTTAAATTAAATTCCATACAAAATTTATGTATCAAACTCTCTTAAGTCTTAAATACATATTAGACAACATATTTTTTTGTAAGGGAATAATGCAATGCCGTTAAATTATATTAACACAAATACCACCTTACTTGGTAATAATGTGGTGTTTTACATGGATGCCCATTAAAAAAAAAAAAAAGAATTCCAATAATCCAATAAAGAGGAAAAAAAAAAAAAAAAAAAGCTTATCCTGAAAATATTCTAAGTCTAAATTTTTAGACTTAATTAATACGAAAATCTTTATAGAACCAAACTAAACCACACAAATTTACTTCGGTTTTTCGATTTTCAGGTATTTTTCATATCCTGTATATTATACCATTTTTGAATTCAATTCTTGAATCAACTATGAGTTAATTTATAATTCAAAGTAGACTATTTTTATTATTATTATTTTCTTAAGATTTTGATTAAGACTATAAGTCTATAACCACTAAACAAGAATATATACATATACAGTAAAACCTCTCTCTAGTGATACTTTATATAGGAATAAACTATACATAATCATAAAAAATTATATTCTTAATTTGGAATAGTTATAAATAAGAATAAACTCTATATTGTAATAAGTTATAATTTTTCTAATTCATGTCTTAAGAAAAGTTTCCTCCACATAGTAATAATTATCTGTATATTGCAAAAAATATTTATGTTATGTTACATTAAATGTTTAAGATAAAATAAAATATTTATCTAAAATTGTTTGAGATAATGATTAATGCTTCAAAGTTGTTACTATATCTTTTAACTTGCAGATAGATTACTCACTAGCATGAACATCTTCTTGTTGAAACCAAATATTTCTAGTTTCTTAAGTATGTTTAGAGCTTCTTGACATAAAATTTTTTGTATTTTCGTACTATCATCCTCATAATTATTTCCTTTATCTTATTGTCTAATTGTAACAATGATTTCTTCTTTAGTTAAAACATACATGACTTATTGCTCATTTAGATAATTGAGAAAAATATTAATATTCATTCGATTAGTGTAATGAAGTTGTCAAATCTGATCACTAAATTCTATAATGACTCTTTGATTCTCCTTATCCACTTTATTTGCAACTTGCGATTCATCAACATCGAGGATCCTAATTTGGTAATGATTAAAACAATTGGCAATAGTATGTAGCTTCACGTTAATTTGCTGCATAATTTTGTGATGATTAAAACAATTAGCAATAATTTATGACTTCACATCAATTTGACCATATAGCAACTGCATTTATAATTCCATCAGAGACACTTATCTTTGCTGATTTTAAGACAAAATCTTATATCTGTTTTAAAAGTAGACAATTGAAGCGCTAAATTGAAATCTTAATAGTATTAAAACATCAATTAAAATCCTAATTCTGTACTACTAAAACATGAATTATAAAGAATTTTTTATTACTACACTTTTATTAAGTTATAACATTCTCATAATAATAACGTTAATTAATTTTACTAAAAGCACTTGTAGTCCTATTTGGGCCAAACACGAACCCATTATTAATTTATTTTTTTTCTCTCTTTTTACAAGAAAACCCTTGTCTCCTCCTCCTCCTCGCTGCAAAACCCTACAAAAAACTCCAACCTTTGAATCAAAAAACTCCTCCTTTGGCTNATATATATATATATAATTTTTAAGAGAATAAATCAATGTTGTTTTAAAAAGCACTTCCCACAAAAGCGCTTGTAGTCCTATTTGGGCCAAACACGAACCCATTATTAATTTATTTTTTTCTTTCTTTTTACAAGAAAACCCTTGTCTCCACCTCCTCCTCACTGCAAAACCCTACAAAAAACTCAACCTTTAATCAAAAAACTCCTCCTTTGGCTTTTACTAACAACCAAAACCATAAAACCCTTCCATGGAACAAGCTCAAGGACCGGAAGAATTCACTCTGGTGACGAGAAAGCCATGTTTTGGTCTCCCCACAGCCTGCCCAACTTGCTTGCCTGTTTACATTTATCTCAAACTCGCTCACTTTCCCTTTCTCTTGGCTTTCAACTCTTCGTACCCTGACTCTGGTAAAAGTCTATTCTTTTTCATGTTTAAATTTTTTTTTTTTGGGGGTCAGATTTTCATTGTTTTCGCTTATTCGAGTAAATTTGATATCTGAGTAATGTTTAATTTTTTTCATTGAATTAGTTATGTGGTGTGAAATGTTGTTTATATGTATGTTTTGGGGTCACATTTATTGTTTTCGCTTCTTTGGGTGAATTTTATATCTGGGTAATGTTTAATTTTTTTTCATTGAATTAGTTTTTTGATGTGAAATGTTGTGTATATGTATGTTTTTGGGTCACATTTTCTTTGTTTTAAAGTATTTGGGTAAATTTGACATCTGGGCAATCTTGATATGTTTGTTTGTCTTAGAGATTTGCAGGTACTCAATGCCATTTTGTAATGTGGTTTATTAATTTTGTAGTTTGCCTAATTGCATGCCGACTTTTCTTGTCTCATAGGTATATGAAAGGAATTCTGTCAAATAGAGATTTTTTTTAAATAGGGTATGTAAGGATTGCTACTAGAAATAGTACTATACCCTTAATCGTGAAATACCAATTGCTTGTTGAACCGAAAGAAGTAAGAATAGAATAATAAAGAAAGTGCATCATCATACATATGTTTCATGTAGAAAGATGAATGGATGATAGTTAATAGGGGAGGTATCTGATAAATTTTGCAAAACTTTGAGGAGATTTATGATGATTTTTACGGTGGCCTGATGATGAATTTCAAAATTAGAGGGGTCTATTTGTATTTTACTAAAGTCCAATGTCAATGAGAAATTTTCTTCTGTCATAATTACGAGTTTAGTCATTACCATCCTTTGCCTTTCTCATTGATGGTTTCATTGTAACGACATTTATATGATTATGCCATTGTCTAATGGGTGTGATTTTGTTCGTTGTTCTTGCATTTTGCTTCAGATGTTTGAGGTTAATAAATGGTAACATCTTGATTTTGTGTTTGATTTACCTGTTAGATCAAATTCCTTACGTTGAGTCGGGGACTTATGTGGCTTATAATAATGAGAATGGTGGAGTTATTGGACGTTTAAAGGAAGATGGCATTGTTGATTTGGACAGTGAATTCCAGTCGATCCCAGATTGGATAACAACAAAAGCAATGATTAATTCATGGCTTGCAGATGCACTTACATATGAACTTTGGGTGGGAACCGAGGGAAGTTGTGCTCGCAAGATTTATTACTCTGATCTAGCGTGGCCGATTGGGAAGGTGTTATTCCTACTGCAAATACGAGCAGTAAAGCAGCAATTTGGGTTAACTAAAGACAATACCGAGCGAAGGGAAGAAGAGGTCCTACTTTTTCCTTTAAGCTTCTTACTATATTAAACTTTATATCTGTGTGCCCATATTACCTTCTATGTCTGTCTCTATCTTTCTCAAACACAATCAGACATGCAAATTAATATTCAATGGATTTTAATTTTGCTCTAATTCTCAAGAGCATGCACTAGAGGATATTATTTATTTATTTATTTTTTCCTTTTCCTTTGTTTTTTTAAAATAATTTTTCCTCTCTCTGTCTTTTCCGCTGTCCTTATATGGTTTATTCTGGTCAGATTTACAGGAGAGCGAACATTGCATATGGAGCTTTGTCTAGTAGATTAGGGGAGCATAACTTTCTGTTTGAGAACAGGTAACTTTTTTATTATTTTAGATTTTAGATACTTGTTTGAGAGCAAAACATCATGGGATTTCTGATCGATTTCTTAATTGAAACAACATTTAATCTGTAACATGCCAATTATGTGCTACCCATTATTTCTTGCAGCCCTTCAAGTGTGGATGCAGATCTTCTTGCTCATGTTCTTGTCACTCTTCAAGTATTACCAGTAAGTTGCCTTAAAGTCTATGCTATAATTGCTGTCTTGTCAAAGTTGATTTTGTATGTTGGGTTGAAGGCTAATTTCTTATAAACACAAATATGATAACAAATTCCATAGGGAGCACTAGTAAATCTTTCTTACACCATCTTAACTCCAGTTGATAATGTTTTTTTGCTTGATGTTTTAATTATTGTGATTGATTAACGGCTTGTGAGTAAGGGTTGGGGTAGGCTTAGGTTGCGTTTCTCTTTTCATATGGGACTGGAATATATCTCAATAAGATAATTATATCAACTGTAAGTGTATGCGGACTTGTTGTTTGTCCACTTTTTTTAAAATGTGTAGATGTCCACACCAAAAAATGGTCAGGCTTTTTTAATTTAAATTTTGACATGAGTTTATGGCCATTCATTTATTGCAATCCAACCATTATGTATGTAGATAAAAGAATAGAATAATGTTATACATCTCAAACTTCTAGTCCAAACTTTACATCCCTACTGATGTGACATTAATTAAGATATATAGATCTTTATCACATAATCAAGTACTCCACATGATTTGTGTGTGTGCATGTGTTATATATATAATGGTTGAGATTTATTCGATGATGTCAACATCTCTTTTTCGAAGTATTTTATCATGCCTTGATTACATCATGCTAATAAATTTTAATATTCTGTCTATTTTACTTTTAATCCTGTTCCCTACAATTCTAAATTATTAGGAAACCTCAGTTCTCCGGAGTAAACTGTTAAATCATGATAATCTTGTAAAATATGCTGAAAAACATAAGGCGGAGTTTATAGAGGATGGTCCATCATCTTCTGTCCCAAAGTTCCGCGCAGACCCTTCATCATCAACTCCCAGAAAAGGTCCCTCAAATTGGAGTAAGTATTCAAGCTACATGTGTTTCTTAATATTGTAATTGGTTTATGTTTGATTTCTAATAGGAACCCACCCTCACAACTCAAACAATTGGGTTGGGCCATGGGTCTTTCATGGGCTTGGGTAGAACTCTCTTTGGAAAACCGGTTTGTCAAGGGAGGGTGCTTAAGCCCTTATAAACCATATGCTCACTGTTTTTCCCTCTCAATGTGGGATTGTAACATTCCCCCACGCTTCAAGACCCAACGTCCACATTGTCCCACTCTAGACGGCTTCACTTTGGGTGGCCTACTCTCTAAGGTCTCCCCTTCCGAAACATCATTGACCCACTCTAGACGACTTCACTCTGGGTGGCCTACTCTCAGAGGTCGCCCCTTCTTTGGTAGCCCTTTTCCAGTTGCCCCTTTTGTAACATTGGCTTGGGTTGTGTTTGACTCTGATACCATTTGATAAGAATCCACTTCCAAATTAATAACTTTAATAAGAATTGAGCTGGGTAATGGTCCTTTTGTATGCTTGAGTAGAACTCTCCTTGAAAAATCAGCTTGCCAAGGGAGGGTGTCCAAGCCTTTATAACTCACATGCCCACTCTTTTCCCTCTCAATGTGGGATTCTAACAATTTTTTTGCCACAACTTAATCAGTTTTATATTTTGGTGGAATATTGCTATAATGGATTTTCAAAGTTGTGGCTGATGTTAAATTTATTTCTATTGATTTCTTTTACTGGATCTTGCCCAAAACCCAAGGATTTATAGATTTTGGGAGCTACTGGGGATTCATGTATTTACTTAATATAGTTTTGTTAGTGTCATTTGTGCTTCCAGCATATTATTTGCAAATAATTATTGACATTTAAATAGAACCTTTCACCAGCCTGTTAATTTTTTATTGTTAAGAGGGCCAGACTAGTTTAGTTGGTGCATTTTATTGTAAGCTTATACCAAGACTGCCGACTGCAGTTCATCTCCTCTCAACAATTCATGTCATCTGCAATATTTTCCCTCTCATACTCCTTAAAAGTCCCTGTTCTCTGTCATTTTGCCTTTGTACTGGTACATTTTATTTGAAATGCAGCCAGTTTCTTCCCCCAGTGCAGCTTAGAAAGAGAAAAAGGATAAAGTATTGTTGAAGTGTAACATTTAAGTCAACTATTAGCATTTAGATGGAAGGATTGTTGTTGGGGGCTTCTACTGATGCATTCGTCATGTCAGAAACAATATGGCCTATAATAGAATGGGTTTCTTTTTACCGAAAGGATGAGAGGTGATGGGTATTAGTATTGGATATTCCTCCTGGGTAAATCCAAAGATCTATTAAGGCAAGGATTGTGGCATTGATCTTACTCAGAATTGTAAATCTAGGGCTAAAAGAATTAGTGAACTTGGTTCTAGTGTTGCATCACTGTGAGAGAAGGGGTAAAACGTACACGTCATGAATGATTGAGATCTCTTTTTTTATTTTTTTATATCAAGGGGAAGGTTAGCCTTGCATTGTTCGTTTGGTCCTGCCTATGGGTTATTTTGCGAAGTTACAGAAATTTCATGCTTAAGAATAAAGATATGTTATTTGTTGTATAATTTTGTCTCTTTATCTGAAGCTCCAGTTCAGATAACTGGTTAAATTTTTTTGATAAGCTGTTTCATCAGATACAGTCTGATATTTAAATTTGACGTTCTCTTTATTAGAATCAAAGCCAAAGCCAAAGCCAAAGAGGGAAAAGACACAGGAGGAGAAAACTTTCAGAAAACGGGCCAAATACTTTTTGGCAGCACAGTTGTTTGCAGTTGTACTCTTTCTGTCTGTTATGGGTAGATATGATTCTTCGGACCTTGATGATGATGAAGACCTCGGTTTTGAGTGAAGTCATGACTTTATGAACTTTGGTTTTTCAATACCAACACTTTTTCCATGACTGCCAGTTGGCGCTGACTGCATGAAGAGGATGATGCTTCTTACTCCCCTTTCATTTTTGTAGTTTCATTTTGTAACTTTGGATAATAAACATTCATAAAACTCAAAGTTATGGTATGTGCAGTAGCTCAATTTATTTTTGGTGGCTCAGTGAAAATAAAAATAAAAAAGATGAAAGTCTTGTTGGATATTAATATCTGACTTTGATTTGCAAAGTTTACATTGAAATTTGAGTTGTATGGAAACAAAGAATCATCATATGAGTTTGAGAACTTCAGGGGTCCCTGTTTCTCCTTGTTAAATGATTGTCGTCGCGTTTTTTCATGTAGATCAGTCAAATATGTGTCAAGTAATAGAATGATATGATAGTTCATGTGAGAAGCTGTATAAAGACTATGGAAGGTATCAACTTCTTAGAACTTAATAAAAACATATGTTTATTATAGGGTAGTCATATTTTACTTTTTTTGTGATGGTGTTAATGAGCAATTATCCAGTTTGGTGTTTTTTCCCTTTTAAATTTTCAGTTGTATCATTTTTAGTCTTTTACAAGAGGAGAACCATTGTGAGAGGCAGTGTTTTAAAACCTGGTCCAACCTGGTTGGTTGAACCAGGACCTGGGGTTTTCATCGGGTTGGATTACCTGTTTCACTATTCACTAAAAACCTTAGAAATTAAAATAAAGGTCGAGATGTTGGGGTTTTTGAAGAGAAAGTGCTGATAAGTGCAATGGTGGCAACAGAGTTGATTTTTGGTGAGTGAATCGACCGGAAATCGAAAACAGGCTGCGACAATAGTCGGCTTTTGCCAGTGATTGGTGAGGCTAACAAGGTTGGGGTGAGATGGGTTTTGGTCAGAAGGCTGAGGGGAATATTTTTGTGGTGATGGGGAGGGTTGTCAACGTCGGTGTTGGTGAGATCTGGCTTGGAATGTTGACATCGGCATCGATATTAGGTAGATTTTCTAGGAAATGGGCTCAAGGGATGATTGGAATTACATTTGGTGTGTTGTCCTTGCCAACTAGTCGACCGTTAATTTATATTTGGGGTGTATTTGCTAACTTTCAAATTTACAGGGACTTAATGAATTATGAGGGGTTTATTTACTAAATTTTAAAATTTTTGTCACCTAGTTTGACCGGCTAGTCAAATCAGTTAAATAGGTCAACCCGAGACCTGACAACTTTGCCGAGTTTTACCTTCGATTGGTTATTAAAACATTAGTGAAAGGTGCCTATATGGTTGATAGTGTGAGTTTATATTGTTTTATACAAATGTCTTAAGAATAAAATGCTTGATCATAGTTTAAGTTCTTTTTTTTCTTTTTCTTTTTTAATGACCGAGAGTATTTAGGTCAGTTTTTGCGTACTTCAACTAATCTTTCAAGACCTTAGAATTATCGATTAAGTAAGAGCTTTAATGATTACCTCTATTAGCACCCGAGCAGATGAGCTACCAATATTAGATTTTTGATTAAACGCCTCATTTTTGCTCTACACCCTCGAGTATCAAGTATCGGGTATTTTCTTTGACCATAAGTGAAAGTTTTGAGCCTTGTAATGTTGTTTTCAAAAAAGAAAGTGTAAGTGTCATAATTTTACTAGAGCAAACGACATGTTCCCACCCAAGGTAAAGCGAAATGCCAAGTTCCCACCCCTAGTTTCATAAATCCCATATTCCCACCCTTAAACTAACGGAAAACTGGTTAATATAACGGTGAAAGGGTAGAATAGTCATTTCTAATTTTAGATCCAAACTGAAAATGAGCTGCCACCGGAACCACCCATATAGCCATCACCATCACCATCACCACCGCCACAAACCACCACAAATTATGTAGACTTCCAACCGAAATTAGTCGATCATCATACAAAAAAGAGAGAAGAAAAAATGGGGAGGAAAGAAAAGCACTAAGCAGCAATCACGATGGCTTGTAAAATAAAGAGACAGCATGTCTTTTCTATTTTTCCTTCAACCTCCTTGCTATCTCCCTCTAATGATTGATGAAAACAATTTTTTTGGGTGGTTTCTCTTCATCGTTTGTCTCTCCCACACTGACGATTCAAATTATTTCTTAATTTCGCCATGCCAGATGAACAACTTCAGAGATGTTCATCATATGCAGCGTTCAGAATCTAATCTCATTGTGCTATTATCGGCTACCAACTCAGCGGCCACTTCTCTAATTTCAACTTGGATTTCTCACTTGATCTAGTAGATATTGATCCAAACTTCCAATTTAGCAGCCCAAACTTCCCCTTTTAGCACTAATTCAAAAGCCCTAGCCTCTCTGTCACCCCCTTAACAAAAGCCCTAACATCCCGATGTCTGGTCGTTCACCGAATACCGTCCACTGCCCTTTTGGTTGTTGCGTGAGACTGTCACGATTGAGAGCCGATTGGAGTTTTTTGGGAAGGATTTTGATTGTATTTGGAGTCCTTTGCTGCTGTGGATTGATTGTACAAATTTCCCAGCCACCAATCCACCTGCCTTTGAAACACGCCCACAAATTGTTTGATTTTTTGCCCTAGCTAGAAAATCTCAGCCTAGACCAGGATTCTGAACCTCCACCACCTCCAGGTAGGGGTGGGATTATCCGGTTAACTGAACTGGATTATCAAAACCGAAAACCGGACCGATTTCGATTAAAAACCGAATGTAAACCGAACCGAATAGGTTACCGGTAAATCGGTTTTCAAATTAATCTTTAATCCTTAAAATTCTTTAACGTTTCATTTAAGTCTCTAAATTTAAATATTTATTATTTTATATATAATTTCATACTATGTTTCTCTTTTATTTTGGTATTATTGTTGTATTCTTTGTATGAAAAATACATTAAATAACTTATTTACAGATACTAAATCCAGAATATGAAATAAAAACATAAAGAATTCAATTACACATTACTCAATAGTCAATACTCATTAATAAACTCAAACACATAACATAAATTTAATTTGGCAATGTTAAACTAAACATATCATAAAATTACAAAGTAAAAAAATTTAACATAACATAAATCATCTTCATCCCACAATGTTGGTGTTAGTGGAGTCTCTTAATTCTGCACTCCCCGGATTAGTTAACGACACATAATAAAGATCATCATCTACAATTAACAACTATAAATATTAATAAATAAAAAAAAAACGATAATTAAAAATTCAAGACAATGACACATAAAAGCAAAGTGAGACAAACCCAGAAAGCAAAACAATTATAACCAAAAATTCAATACAATGACACATAAAAGCAAAGTGAGACAAACCCAGAAAGCAAAACAATTATAACCAAAAATTCAATACAATGACACATAAAAAGCAAAGAAAAACAATAATAACTTTTGTTCAAAGATATCAATAATGACCCTTTTGTTTGTTTTCCCATAAAGTAGATGATACTATAATAAAAAATTATTATAACTTTGAATAATCCTCTTGCTCGTTTTCCTAGAAAATGGAGGAAACTAAACAGATGCAAACCCAGAAAGCAAAACAAACAACGAAACATAAACATCACATGAAAAATTCAATATATTCAAAGGGGAGAAACGTGTCTGCATATTTTGATGACCCAGAAAGATTTAACAAAGACACAAATAAAGCACACTAAAACAAACTGAGAAAGCAAAACAAGATTAACAAAATAACAAACCCAAAAAGCAAAACAAGATTAGTAAAATAAGCAAAATAAGAAACCCACGAAAAAAGGGATCACGATGGGACAATGGCGTGACTGCCTGACTGGAAAGTGGAGTCTACTAGAGTGCTGAGTGCTGGTGAACGTGTGAACTGCAAAGAAATGAAGAATGAAGATGGAGTGGTGACTAGACAGTGGAGTGACTGATGAAGATTGAAGAGTGGAGTGTTGGAGTCAGCTCAGTAGCTCACGGTGTGGAAGACTGGAACTGGAACTCTGGAAGTGTGGAGATTTAAGATCTGGAGGCGGAGGAGAGTCTGAACTGTGTGTGAAGAGAAATAGAGAGGAGTGAAATTTTTTTTTTGCTTTTATAGTTAGGGTAAAACCGGTTTTCGGTTAACCGGTTTGAAATATTTTTCAAAACGAATCAGTTTTTCAGTTTTCTGAATTTTGTAAACCAAAAACCAAACCGGTTTGTAAAAAAACCTAATTTTCGGTTCGGTTTCGGATCGGGTACCGGTTTGATTCGATTCGGTTTTCGGATTATTTATCCCACCCCTATCTCCTAGCCAGGTGATACCAACCAAAATCAGCCCCTGACCTGGCGATCTCAGCCGAGATCTCTTGGCCAGTGGTGGTTGCGGTGGAGGCAGAGAGGCAGTGAAAAGAAATTTGAGATATGGGTTAAATTTTGAGATGTAGGGTTACTTTCTAATTTTCCTAATGTGGGGTTAAAAATAAGAGCAATGCTAGTTTTACAAAAACATGTACAAAGGGGGCATATAAAGACAATCATCACCCTTGATTTTCATAATTTTTTTTCTCTCTCTCTCTCTCTCTTTTTCCGTTTTTCTTTGTTTTTTTGTTCTTGCTGTTATCACTTTTGTAGCCTTCTTTGTATGGGTCTTTGTAAGGATAACATTTTTCTAAAAATAATTTATAAATCTATTTGTTAAGGGTGGTATAGTAATAACACCTTTTTTACATGTGTTAAGACTTAAAAATTGGTAACAATGTTAATTTAGGGTGGGAGTCTGAAATTTATAAAACCAGATATGGAAACTTGGCATTTCACTTTACCTTGGGTGGGAACATGTCGTTTGCTCATTTTACTATTATTAGTTCTTGTAACGAGACTATCATGTGTTAGAGAATATTATAAAATTTAATAGAATTTACTAACAACAAATAAATATTTAGCAATTAAAATAAAATAGTAGAGTAGTGGCTTTTATTTGCCCTCCTCGATCACATTATTTATTTAGGGAAGTGATTTTATCTCCCATCAAATTTATTAGTATTCCCCACTTTTAATTTTATTTTGATAAGTCTAACCTTTGTAAAACTACTTAGAAATGATATAATAATTTTTAAATACACTCATACTCTACTTTTTATTTTTGTTTTAATTTTTAACTTTTAATTATTACAAAAACCCTAGCTCAAATTTTTCTTAAATCATTGCAACTTTTTTTGTTTTATTTCAAATATTTATCTGTTTGATGAAAATCTATGAAGAAAGAAATCGCACAATAGGGTACATCTGAATCTAAAGAAGAAAAAATATGTTTCAAATTTAAAGTTGGGAAATGTGTATAAACAAAGAACTTAATTAAGTTTGAAATTGGGAACAAGTGGTGCAAGCCAAAAAAAAAAAAAAACAATTAAATCTAATTAAGCAAGGTTATTTTCAGTATTAAACATGGTTTAAAGAGATTTTTTTTTTTAAAATAAAAAATAAAAGAGCGATGCATTTAACAATGGGGGACATAGATTAATACTACACTGACAAACCTTTCTTATTAACTTATTCTCACAAATGCGACGTGTTAACTCGCAATTGGTCAGTTTGCAATGAGTCCCGCCTATTCAACAACAGGTCCTATTTGACTAAATATGAGATGTCACATCGCATTTGTGAGAGAAAATTATGAGAAATGTTTATCAACCTATCTTTATTCGGAGGACATATTAATCAATTTGATGAAGGCTAAAAATCACCTTTTACTTATTCTTGAGCAGCTTTTACTTAGGCCTTTTGGGCTTGACACTTATATCATAAATGGGCCTTTTGGGCTTGACACCTATATCATAAATGGGCCTTTTGTTTCGACATGTATGGCTTTATAATTGCCTCTCAATTTGGGCTCCTCAAGCCCTTTATTTATGGTCCAGTGATACATTTAAAAAGGTGTTCTTAAACATAGTTTGTTCAAGAAATTGTCATACAAAAGACTGGTAATTGCTTGCCCATGCCTGGATTGAGTGATGGCAAGAAACTTATCCTGAAAAACTTAAACTAGTATTAAGGATTTTACAGTCAACATTTGTGCAGTTTGATAAGTTAGTAAACCCGCAAAGGTTTTTACAGAAGCATCTGATTCTTGTTTATATAACGACTTTGTCAACTTAAGAATGAGATCGGAACAGCGTTAAGATCACCATTACCACATTCTCATTCATCTTGTTGAGCTTTAGATAGGCTGATTCCTTTAAAAATGGTCATCTTATTAGCCGAAAGGAGCAAAGCATCACGAGAATGGAGGCATCTAGAACTCTATGCTACCTTGTCATAACAAGTTATAGTTGTAATTATATCGACATTGACACCCTTTAGTTAAACTACCTAACAAAATATCAAAAACTATGTTGTCTCCTGACCTGAACCTTGCGGCCGCTTGGTGTTATCCCATTGATCAACAAGTTCTGTGTATCCATTTGCAGAACCGACAGCAAACTCAGTCAGTGAGGTCATTGCAACTGACATTCCTGCACAAAGTACCTTTATGGCGACTTCTGCGAGTTTCTCTGTAGTCATAACATCTTCTACTTGTCCGAACTCCACCACTTCCATATTCCCACCAGATTCATCTGATAACCCAGATCCAAATCTCTTTGACCCGACTGGAACCCGATGAGAATCATTTCTTAGCTGTTGTGCATAGAGAGACCCCATCCCAGCTGCGAAAAAGTCTAATCCATCAAGAACTGGCATCTCTCGAATAGCATCGAGAAACCTTGACCATTGGACGCAAAGTCCAAATATTGGGAGAGTTCCACTGGAGCGTCGAGGAGAAAATGGTAATTTTGACATATCAGCGTCACACCTCACGCAACGCAGGAGCCAGCCAGATATCGCATGCACATAAGATCGCTGAGAAGTGATCCATGACTCAAAACAGGCTCGCCAATTCTTCAGCTCTGTTTCAAGATTGACAGCTGATCTGGCCAGCTGGTGAGGATCAGTAACTGGCATGGATGAGTGCCTCTTTGCATGAAGTTTTGACGGGGTACCTGCTAGCAAGAGCTTGGCTTCGTCTAAGGTTCGCTTTTGTGATTGATGACACTCTGCCATTACTTTCCACATCTTTGCTAACCTGTAATTTGTATAAGAATTAGTTCTGAACATAGCATGAAAATGTCAATGAGAAGGTATCATAAAATATTTCTTCATCAAAAAATTAACTCTTCTTGATAATAAAGCATAATTCTGCAGCACCAAATTCGTCTACTGGGAACAGGAAACCATGTAATAAAAATGAGAAGGCAGCAAGAGTTTAAAGTTTATCTATAACTGAAAGTTCATTTGCAACTTGAATATGTTGGATTCACCCTGTATATATACGAGCATACAGATAAGGTTGAGCACAAATACAGGGATGGAGATAAATCCCAAACTCAGAACCATTTAAATTGAAATTAATGATCGAGATAAATAGTAATGTTTTTGTTTGCCGACACTATTTTTGAAGCATTAGGCTGATAGAAATGAGTTCAGCTAGAATAAAATGAATGTTTAGGAAAATGAAAACATTTCAACATTCTAAAGAGAGTAATTGATTAAAAATTTGAGTATTGATGAATGAAGATGTAACCGGTTTTTAACAAGTGATTGGGAATGTTATCATTTGTAAAAGAAAGTGTCCATTGAAAATCTTACATCATGATGGTGTCTTTGATTAATTTTGCAGTGCCAATATAATATCAGGAAATAGTGTCACATACCCTTGTACCAGTTCTACAAGTTGAGGCTGCAATTCTTCATCCCTTAAGGTCTCAATCCTCTTCGAAATAGCTTCAACTGAGTGTATTGAAACCGTTATCTGGGTATGCAAATCTCTAATTGTTGCCCTTGTTTTGTCCACAGCAGAGGGGTCCTCTCCTTTCACATCCTGATTTCTAAGTTGCTGAAGTTTCTTCTCATATGCAATCCGAACCTTTTCTCCAGACTGTTTAAGATGGTAACAGATTGGTCAGTTTACTTTTTGAACATAGTTTTATAATAATTAAAGTATGTGTTCCTTGCATGAATAGCTGGAGACAAATAATTCTAATTACCAATCTTAACGATTTTGTTAATAGTAGATTTTATTTGTTTTTTTCTCATAAAATTAATCTCGGGTATTATTTAACTCTAGATTGAAGTAAAAAGTAATACCCTGACTTCCTCATAGAGTTTCTTTTCCCAAGCATACAATCTGTCCAATGTTGATTGATGGCTACCAGAAAACATACAGGAGTCCTCGGACATATCGCTACTGCTTTCATAACCTTCATCTTTTGAACTGGAAGAACTGATAAAAAATCTTGCTGAGGATGAGCGAGATGAAGCTGACCGTATCAAAGCTACGGGATTCAACATTTTCATGGCTGCAAAAACAAAACATTTCAAATTGATACCTGTAACTTCAAAATGTTACGAATGAATACCAAAGCAATCGACAATAGCGGCTACATATATATTGTGAGAGGATTTTATTCATTACACATGCGTTTGTTTAACAAAACACTAGATATGTAATATGTTGAAGCAATTTGCACTGATTTTGTTTGCAGCAGTAGAACTCTTCATTATAAATTTAAAGCACAGGAAAAGAATATGAACAAAATAAAGGCAGAGTAAAATGCAAGTAAAAGATAAAAATTCAAAAACCTGTGAGTTCATTTGATTTTGTCGTGTACTGGGCTCTGCTAGCCTCTAGCAATGTCGAGACTTCATTTGCTGCATTGCAAACAACTGTGAATTGATCTTCAAGGTCCTTGATTACTTCTGACATGCTTGTTGGCCTTCGGTTTACATAAACAGTAAAACCTGGTGTCTCTTCCTTAGATTGTCGATCACCAACTGCCATTTCTTGTTTACTAACTTCAACTTTCCCAGCCATTTGAGCCCGTGATATATCTATGTTTGTTCTACCATGGGATTGTAACCCTTCCACTTCATGCTCTGCATCAGTTTCGCTATCTGTTTCCCCTTCCTCATCCTCATCCTCCTCATCGACATCTTCTACAAGAACTTCTTCTCTTGAGCAATGTGTATGAGTTTTAGCTCTTTCTTCTCTTACACGTGCATTACTCTCACATTCTTCTTGCTCAGTTTCATCTTCTTCCAAATCCGGAATCCCTTCTTCTTCTCGAACCTGCCTTAGTCCTCTGATCTCATCTTCAATGGTTGTTTGATTGAGACTGCTTCGGTTGGGGTAGCCATAGTTGTCCAAGGATGAAAATGGGTTCCAAAAGAAATCCCATTGTGAATTTTGAGGCGACGGAGGAGGGATATTGGGTCTATTGTTGGGTGAATAAGAGAAGAATGAAGAACTCAGCGGTGATTGTTGCATTCCAAAAAATCCATCATACCCGTACTGGCGCATTGGAGAGTAAGCTTCGACTCGGACTGTTTCTGGTGATGGAGGCCTCTCTTCAACTGAAACTGCTGGATTCCCACCTGACCTTAAGTAATTCACCTTCAAAGTTGAGTTGGAGCGCGACTCAATTTGCGCTGGTGAGATGGATTTTGGTGAAATTGAGATGAAACCATTACTTATTTTCTTCACTGGTGTATATGGAGGAGTTATAAATGAATCTAGCATGAACTCCCGCGGTTCATCTCCCTCCACATATTCGCGAAGAGCAGCAGACACTCTTTTCAAGGATTGGATATAAGCTAGGTGTCCGGAGGCGAATCTGGTTCTTTGCTCTAATGCCTGTTTGATGAATCGCTTTCTATCTTTACAAAGCTGAACTGCCTCTTCATCGTCTAGCTTCGATGTCGAACATCCCATTTCTCGCTTTTCCTTTCCCTTAACTCTATGAATGTTTCAGCCTCGAATCAAAATGGAAATCACAATCGTATTCTTTTGTATTTCTCACTAGAATCATAAGTAGTTTTCGAGGCTGCTCAACCAAGAAACAGAAAGTTCAGTATCCTGAATCATTATCAAAACATTGTCAAGCATGCAGAGAAACAAGAACACAAAGCAAACAAGAAAGAAACAGATAGATATACAACAGGCATTCAAATTCCAAGATAAATTTATATACAAGAAATTCATTTTAACAAAGCTGTGGTGCTTTTCTTAAATTTCAAGTCACGGACAAGGTTGAGAACATTTTCAAACTTACATAACACAAGGAAATCAAGATTCTTTTCAGCTTTCTCTTCAAATTTTTTCTAATACTAAACAAATCAACCCTTTAAACCCTCACTAAGGAACAACAATGACAAAAATTTTCTAATACTAAGAAAGACAAATTTGTGACAAAATGCTTTGCAGTGAAATTGTGGTGAAATATTAGTAACAATATTACAGTTTAATCTAAAAAAAATAAAAATAATAAAAAGTTTAGATGGTACAACGACACAAATGATTAGAGGTGAACATTTTGCAGACTTATTTAAAACAACTTACAGATAAAGCCAGCATAAATTCTGTAAAAGAGCAATTATAAATATTGAAATATTGCTAAGAAGAGTAAACAATAAGAGTTAATGGTAACATACTGAAAAAGAAAATGCGGTCAAATAACAAAAAGATTATTTTTAGTTACAAGGTAATAATCAAAAGAAGATAAAGCTTTAAAGCAGAAAAAAGAAGCAGACCAAAAATGCAGAGAGTTCATATGGTGAAATCTGCAAATATTATATAAACTATAAGTAGAAAAAGAGTGAAAATAAATCAATAAAGATGAAAATAAATGTTAACTCTTTCACGTTGACTGAACCAAACCATAAAACCATAAATATGAGATTAGAACATAAAAAAAAAAATTAAAGCATTAAATACCTTCCAAAATGAAATCCTGAGATGCAAATTTAAGAGAATATAACTATTAAACCTGGTAGACTAGGAAACCAAAAAAAAAAAAAAAAAAAATACATGAATAATACCGTAAAAAAATGAGGATTGACAGTCAAAATGTAACATAAAAATGGAAACCATTTCAGAGTATTCATAAGATAGATTGACTAACTAAAAATTCAAGGAAAAAAAAAAAAAAAATCAGTTGTGCAAGGAATAACTCATTGAAATGAAAAGAAAACCATTTCAGAATGTGAACAAGAAATATTCTTTGACAAAATAAAGTGGGATGACACAATCTCTAAAAGCTAAAACTAAATTAAAAAAGAAGACAATAATTCAGTAGAGAGCATTAAAAAAAAAAAAAAAAAAAAAAAAAAAAAAACAACCCTTCAATTGATTATAGGTACAAACTAAATAAAGATATAACTTTAATGAATATCAAAGCTTAAAAAATAAACTCATATTAAAAAAAAAAAAAAAAAAAAAAAAAAAAAGTAAACCATTACAGATTGTGAACATGAAATATTGTTCTACAGAATAAAGTAGAATACACAACTTTCTAAAAGTTAAAACCAAATTTAAAAAAAAAAATGTGTGTGAATAACCCTGTCACAATAAGGAAAAACGAAACTTTAATATATTTAGTGTGAAACAAAATTATAAAGATAAAAACTTGCTATAATACAAAACTTGAGTCCAAGTTCAGGAATTCTCTCTGCTTTTCAAAGAAAAAGAGAAACCATTCTCTGAAACTACAAAAAAAATTAAAAATAACAAGAACAAGCTTTACATGCTAATGAAATGAGATATACAGTAATGAGAAACAAAGATCTAAACTGACATAAAAATCAAAACTTGAGCCCCATTTAAGGAATTCTCTGTACTTTAACGAAATGGAGAACCCATTTTCAAAATGTAGAAAAAATGACAAAACAAGCTTCACAAGACATGAAAAAATCAGCTGAAAGTTGAAACAAAACATTTCTTTCATGGGGTTAAACATTATTCAAAAGCAATGAGAGAGAGAATGAACTGGAGAGAAGAAGGAGGATACCTGGTGGTGAGAATGGTGAAAGCTTGGAAGAAATGGAGGTTGATGAGAGAGAGGAGAGAGGAGAGGAAGAGAGAGGAGAGAGACGTTGAGAAAGCAACGGTCAAAACTCAGGAAGAGAGAGTAGGAGAGAGAGAAAAACAAGAAAACAGAAAACAAAAAAATAAAGTTTGAGGTTGGAAACTAACAAAGTTAGAAGAAAGAGAGAGAGGACAAGGAATATGACAGCTTCAAGTTGTTCCTTCATGTTTATATGATTTCATATGTCCATTATTATGATATGTTTGTCCTTATATGATACTTTACACTTAATTTTATTTTTTGAGTTTATCCAACTTTGTCTTTAAAAGTATTGTAACTAACAACATTCCCCCTCAGATAAAATAACTTGACTCCTGTAGTCACTGTCATGTTAGGGCTTTTCTCATCTAACATATTTTTTTTTTATCTAATCCGTTAAATTAGAGGATAAATTATTATTTAAGGATGCTTCATGGGAAAATAATAAACTCATTTTTTGTTGAAACATTCTTTAGACCCCTAAATAATTTTTTTATTTCTCAGACATCACATTTTTTTTTTTTTTTTTAATATAGAGAAAGGATTACTAGCCCTACCCCTTATTGACTATTGGAGGCGATTTGATACTTTTATAAGTTTTAATTATATGATTTAAAATGCTTTGTAAAAATATTGGGGGTAAAATAAATGATCCTATAAGGATCTATATAATATAATAACCCTATTAAAAAAAAAAAAACAAATTCCATATCATCATTATTATGGTTCAACATAGTGAGTTGGTGAGATTAATAAATGTAATTTTTTACTTTAATTAACTCAATTTATAAATGAAAGTTTCTTTATGTCAATTTACTTTCCTGTTTAGTGGATATTCACTTTAATAGAATATTTATTTCATATTATTTTATATATCTTCAATAAATCTTGTCTAGATTCATTAATAGGTTTATTTAAACTTGATAATGAAATTGTATTGTAATTTTTTAATACAAAATCACTTTTTAAACTAGAAATTGATATAATTGGAGTTTTGCATTGATAAAGCAAATCTTAAATTTGTTATTAGAATTTGATGGTTGAGTTCAAAATTTTATGTATGAGTTGAGATATTGTGTTACATTTTTTTTTATTAATTATTACTTAAAATTTAGCCCTTCATTATATTAATCCAATGGTATAAAGAGCTGATGAGTTGTCAACATTAAATATAACTTTTTGACTTTAAATTTGAACCAATGGATTATAAGAAAATATGTTAAAAAAATCTCATACCTATAGTATATAAACAAGTCTAAGGCTCACCAAAAGAGAATATGAAGTAGGTTTTACAAAAATTGGAGTTTTTATAAAATAAATTTAAATTTTGGGTTTTTATAAAATTTTGTGAAAATAGATTTTGTTATAAAAATTTGAATTTTATTAAGAAAAAAAAAAAAAAAAAAAGCTAATGGTTATTTGGTTAGATATATAAAATAGCAAATAATGTTAACTTATCAAATAATTTTAATATACAGGGAAATATGCAAAACAATTAAAATAACATGGGGATAATTTTTATTTTCAAAAATTTAGAGAAGTTAAAAAAATTTATAAAAAATACAAATTCTGATATTCTCCTCTCGTAGATATAATTCACTTATTTATTTATTTACAATTTCTTCTTAAATTATAATCAAACAAAAAATAAATTTTTGAAACAATTTTTTTAAAAAAACATTAAAAAAAAAAAAAAAAAAAGAAGAAGAAGAAGGTAAATTCAATAAACAAACACCAATTCATGTAAAATTGATGAGCCTGACTTTTAATTAGAGGCCTTGGACATGCACAAAATAGATGGGGTTATATACATGCGCTTAAGAATCTTATGCTAAATAATTTTATGTGCATTATACAGTATATAAATTCAATGTTAAAAATTATTTACTAATTACCTATAACATGTCAAGTGCATTGAAATATACCTCACAATAGCACCCCAATCATTTCTTTAGTTATAAATTGTCTAACACACTAGAATATTTTAGCCCTTGACGATATTAGAAACCCCTAAATTGTATATGCATTGCTAAAATTCATGTATTAATATTATACCATATAATTTAACTCTAAATTATGTTAAACTCGGTATATTATCGTTGAACTATATTTTATCAAATGAATCGTTCGTATTTAAATTGGGAGCATGCTCTTACAACGTTTAATAAAAGAAAATTTAATTGACTGATTTGGTCATTTTGACCCAATAATGGTGAAATAAATGTTGTATTTGAACTATTCTCTTTTCCGAACATGATAAAAAATTTGGGGTTTAGATTATATAATATTGGTTTAACTTGACAGAGTTGCCGGTGGTGACGGCCTCTATTATTAATGTGACATCGCCAACCAAGTCTTTACAACGATTCAAATCTGCATATCTACCACCATAAATGGAGGTTTAGATTTTCATATATTGTAATATCATACACTATAACTAATCCAATTTGATGTGTATAAGGGTATTTTCTTTTAGAATAACACTTTGGGTACTAATAGATGGGTACTAATTTGTGTACTAACTAAAGCATAGTACCCATACTATGTGCATAGTACAGATACTATGCTTTAGTTAGTACACAAATTTGTACTCATCCATTAGTACCCATAACATCACTCTTTCTTTTAACCTAACTGATATGGGGTAAGATATTGACACTCTGTACAACCATACACTGCAAAATTCATTTATTTCTTGTGTTCTCCAAATAGAATTTGTACTACTCAGCAACAGCCTGTAGACCCCCCAATCACACTAAACGTTTCTGATATAATTACGGACGTCTCTGATTAATTCCATTTTCCAATTTAATCTTCTGATTGCTACTGGGGCCCTCCTATTTGAATGAACCCCACCCTGTCGTACTTGTATGAGTCTGGACACGTATCACATACTTACAATAGTGAAAATGAGCAGGAGATTTTGGTAATTTAGTGGGCCAGAAAATAGGGTAAAGTTGTATGTAGAAAAAGCAAAAGAAAGCCGTTTATAAAGAAAAAGTAAGGAACGTGGTCCCCATTCGAGAATCGTTTGATGCCTCGATAACGGCTGCTTTGTAAATACACTTGGATTTCATTATAATTTCAGAATTGCCCTTCTAATAACTTTCACATCATTTCCGGTTTACAACAATTTCCCTCCTGAAGTTTGAAGAAAACACAACACACCCAAGGATTTTGCAGACTAACAAGAACCCAAAAAATTGATTACTTTATCACAATACCCTTTGTCTAATTATATTTTCTTTTCAGTTTTTATTTCTTGAATTTTTATTTATACTATATAAATAATCATATTTATTAACCTCTATTATATAATAAACTATAATTAAAGTAAATACGTGAATATTGAATCGTAAAAATTATTATCTAATTTGATAAAATTAAATAATATTCAAGAACCTAG